ACATTGTTTTCCTTTAAAACAACTAGTAAATTAGAAACATATTATAGGATTATTATCCCATGAGTGACTATCACAGACATTCTTGAGAATGATATGAAAACTAGTTATAACATGTTATCCTAAGCACAGTGGCCTAATTGTTGTAAACTGGGTCTTATATCCTATGTATAAAAATGGTCAATGTATGTCAATTAGCAAGTCAACAACAGCATAAGATTTGGTAAAATTTACATCGACTTCAGACACTAGATCCCATCTGTACTTAGAAAAAATACATAGTATGCTTAAACTTCACATTAAGCACTAGTTTATTAAAAGTTTCAGATAAGCTATTAGTGATTAGTACATACTTTCAGTACAATTAACCCAACTGAGGATTTTTTTAGTGATACAGAATATGTAAAGCGAAAATCCAAAGTTAAACTCTGTGCAGGTTATAATCTGCACTTTACAAATTTCGCCAGATACATATAATGATGATATAAAGATTAGAACAATAATGTCTTGCACTAGTTAATTAAAACTCTGAGGAAAATATATTTAAATGTGTGATCAGTAGCATTATGTTAATCCTACTCGACGTGTGTCCATTTTTATCTGTTCACTAAAACTTCTGAACCTATTAAGATCCTTGTACTAGAAACCACAGTAATCAGTTTTCGTTAGATACATCGTATGAATAGAATTACACAAAAAACAAGTGAAAATGATCTCTAAAGGTCATTATGAACACTTAATGAAACGATATCTCTCATGACGTTTCGATCGAAACCGATAACCAAGATTTGGGTTTTAAAAAGCATATGAGGATGAAGGGAGTAATGTAATAATAATACAAGTACTAGACCATTATGAAGAAGATGGTAAATGATTAATTACGGACTAACAATTAGATAATACTATCTCATATGTTAGAAAGGTTATATCATGCTGACATTTATTTCCTGATTCTTTTTGAAGCAAGAATACAGTATTCTTAAACTCTTTTAGGTAGTAGTAGTTTGGATATCATGGAAGTGGATCGGACATACATTACCGAAATCACCAAAATGCGTCACGAGGCAAGCCCTAAACTGGAATCCGGAAGAGAGGCGGAAAAGAGGAAGGTCAAAGAACACATTGCACTGGGAAATAGAAGCAGATATGAAAAGGATGAATGTTAACTGGAAAGAACTGGAAAGAATTGCCCAGAACAGAGTTGGATAGAGAATGCTGGTGGGTGGCCTATACTCCTCAACTAGGGGTATTAGGCGTAAGTAAGTAAGTTTGAATATCAAAAGGTTTGCACATTTGACTTTATGCTCATACCATATTTAGATCAATTATCAAATAATTATCAGAATTATAATTCTCTTGTTAATTGATGGTATAATCGATAAATGAAAAATAACATGCAACCAAAAAAACTAGTTATTATTTCCATTTTTCAGCCAGTAGGCATCTTTTTGTAATTACATTAATGTAATTTAGTCAATTTATAATAACCGCTTGCCAAAATTTAAAACCTTTATCCATCTATAATTGCCTGAAAACAAAATTATTTACCCCCGAGATTTTTTAAATGACTTTTAGTAATGAAATTAAAACGATGTATATATGGAAGTATAAATGATTATTAGATTTCAAGACAAGTAAGTATATTCAATATCGTTTCCGTGGTGTAGTGGTCATCACGTCTGTCTAACATACACAAGGTCTCCATTTCGAACCTGGGAGGAAACAAGTATATTCAATCATAGAAATTAGTGATGAAAGGTATCTAGGAACAGAAGAAGTGTCATGAAATAACTTTTCTGCACTGATACATAGGAAAGGAATGTCAAAGTTATGATGTAGTGAATGAGGACTTGGGTGAGTACAACTAATTTATTGTTCAATACAAATTACAGAATGTCTTCATAAAATACGAGAACGATACATTAAATACTTCATTTGCAGATCTCCCATCAACTTTTTTTCTTCACATTCCGTTCGATTTTTCCAATTCACAATTCCTTTGTGTTTCCCATTTCTGTTTTCTTCAACTCGACTTTCTTAGCTTTTCTCTGCCAGGTTTTCCTTTTCCAATTGGTTTTACATACTACTTATGTGGAAAGACATAAGTAATATACACTACAATTATATTAAAGTGTATTTTGGCGCATATCCAGTACATTATCTACATCCTTTCAGTAATATGAGTCAAATAATTTTCCTACTTGAATTAAGAGAATGAGACAAACAATGACTTAGCATTACATATATGTCATTCAAGATGTAATTTGCGGTTTGCTTGAATATCTGGAGTACCATCTAGTGTGCCATCTAGATATTTCAACAAGTTATCTGTTTATTTGTTTTTTTCTGTTTTAACATATCATTATGTGTGTTAATCGCATAAGTTATTCAGGAGTGTTTTGGAAATTTTTTTAACCTTTTGCTGTACAAGTTACAAAAAAGTACAATCAGAGACATCGTGTTGGCTGGTAATATGCATTGAAAACAATGAACATTATTCAGATGTCGATTCCTGAACTGCTAACATCTAAGTGGCAATCACTCAGTATTTATCGTTAACATCGACCAAGAAATAAGAAACTTAAACTTGTTGAAATACTTTATGCTGAGAATTTTATATTGTGCCAAAAATAAAGCATTGAATAAAGCCACACTAACGATAATAATAATAATGAGAATAATAATAATTTGCGGATGACATCGCTTAGATTCAACTGTAATTTGTAACTGATTCAATGTACTTGTGCAAATGCTATATGATTAGTAGTGAATTCAGGATGCGTGTTTCGCTCTATTTGGGACTCGTCAGCTGGATATACCTGCATTTCGGAGTTGATGTTCACTCTGGGACTCGAACCCAGTACCTTTCGCTTCAAATGCCACCGCGTTATCCACTCAGCTAGTGAGTCCTGAATTATTATGTAAGTATACCTTGAAAAGTATAACAATATTGAAATAGAAAAATAATCAACTTCGTGAAGTTATCAAGGATCTGTGTAAGTGAAAATAACTAAAGCTAGTTGGCTTAGTATTGGTTGTTTGAATTTCCATGTTGATGTTTAGGACTGAGATTGATGTGCATATTGTAAAGATTACCCAATATAGTCATTCAGTCACAAGCATTCAAATCAGCGATAGATGGTGGTCGGCAGTGTAATTCAGGATACACGTTTCATCCAAGTTGAGACTCGTTAGTTGAATGTACTTCAGGGTTAATATTCACTGCTTATAAAGCTTGTGACTTAAGGCAATATTGAGACAATCTGCACAGGATGCTCATATGCTAAAAGAGACAGATCAATTAAAGTCCTAAACATCAATGAGAAGATTCAGATAACCAAACAGAAATGAATTGGAACTCTACCCAATTGCACAAACAGGTGGATATCTGGACTCAGTAGCTATGTGGATAACGTCATGGCGTTTGAAGCGAATGGTACTCAGCTCTGGTATCGGAGTTAATATCAACTCTTGGATGCAGGTACATCTAGCTGCTAAGTTCTTCATAGGACGAAAAGCTCATCCTGGATTCCACTGTTATCCACCATCCATTTGTGGTTGTAATGAAAATCAACCTTACCGATTTACATTCATAACATGAAAAGTGATATTTTTCTTAGAAAATTTGAATATGCCAAATGTTCATCTAATTATTTTAATTAATAAAAGATTTAGGTAATATCTAATAATATTAATGGTAATCTAAAACAAAATGCAAACAAATAAGCTTCTCCGCTGTTTCAGAAAGTTCTTTAGAAACTGTTCAGTTCAAATTCCTTTAAAACAATTGCTTGAATCTTTCTGTCGCTGCTGCTATTGGTGACAACTGATCAGTTTCCTTGTGGTATATTTTTTATCATGAATATATTGCTTCGATATTGTCAGTAAGCCATAAAAATTCTAGTTAAATTTGAATTTCGGTTAGCAGTGAAAGAGTTTTTCATCCAATCTGTAATTTACCAACTGTAAGTACCCGCATCAAAGTATTTCTATTCACGTAAGAAAGAAAGTGAGTACAAATTCCAAATAAAACCAACATCAACACCGGTTTACAAATGCACCTAAATAGTGAGCTCAAAATAGAATGAAAAACTGTTCCTGTATATCTTTTCTGGTTTCTATTCAACTCTACTTAAAATATATATCACTTAAAGTTTCTAATATAATGCAATACTTTTTATTTGCAAACTGTTCAGAAATATCGATTTACTAATAATTAATAGTAATAATATTTGGAACATTATTACTGGTTTATAAAAATATTTCTGGTTAGCGTTTTTTAGAGAGTTGGTTTTTCTACGGGATGGGATCGCTAACCTCCTCCATTGCCCGGGCTTGGGACCGGTATTAACTCTAGAAGAGCTAAAGGCGGAAGATCGGGTACAGATGTAAAGACGAGGATTGGCAAATCAAGGGCAGCATTCCTACAGTTGAAGAACATATGGAACTCAAAACAACTGTCTCCAAGCCAACATCAAAGTCACAATCTTCAATTCGAACGTTAAAACAATCAGTTCTACTGTAATAAGCTGAAACTTGGGGAATTACTACAACCTTCGTCAAGAAGGTACAAGTATTTATAAACAGTTGTTTGCGCAAAATACTCAACATTCAATGGACCGATACTATCAGGAACAGTGTTATATGGGAGAGGACAAACCAGCTTCGAGCTGAAGAGAAAATAAGAAAAAGACTTTGTAAATAGATCTGACATACATTAAGGAAATCACCAATGTGCATTACAAGGCAATCCCTAACTTGGAATCCGGAAGGGAAGAGGAAAAGAGGAAGGCTAAAGAACACATTACGTCGGGAAATAGAAGCAGATATGAAAAAGATGAATGTTGACTGGAAAAAAACTGGAAAGGACTGGCTGGGACAGAGTTGGATAGAGAATACTTGTGTGCGGCCTATGCTCCTCGACGACGGGTAACAGGCGTAAGTAAGTAAGTAATTAAGTAATAAAATTATTTGATAATATGAAGTATATAAAAACACTGATTACTGTGACTACATTTATGCTTATTAATCAATTTTTTTAATAAAGTATCCAAATCACAAAAATTTTACAGAATAATTAAATTTATTCATACAATGAGTTATTTCTTTCTTTTTTTGTTTCTTTACAAAGAAAAGATTATTATCTCAAAACGGATCAACACTGTTGATTGATAGATTGGTAATAATAATAATAAGATATTGATAACCAAGATATACATTTCAATCAATTGAATCAAATAGATAGATGAATGGAAAATGCAAAGATTATTCGATGGAAAATGTTTATTTGTTTGTCATTCTAATTATATATTTTTTCCTTCTTATAATGATTTGTTTATGGATGTGTTGCTCAGTGATCATTATGGCAACTTTTGAATCTGTAAAGAGAAAAAAAAACGAAGAAAATAGAGAGTTAAGTATGAATTAAAGATTGTTATCTATTGAATTAAAAGAGCATAAATAATGAGAAGTTTTGTGAGGAAAGCTAGATTCTAATTCAGTAATGAGGAATATTTTAGTTGTAGACTGAGTCGCAACATGCATCATCATAAAGAATGGATCTCCATCGAAACTCTTGACAAGATCGAAGAAAAGAAGACAAGAAGACAGCAATTACCAACCCTTGACAAGATCGAAGAAAAGAAGACAAGAAGACAGCAATTACCAACAGCTAAACAAGAAACAGAGGAAGTCAATGCACAAAATGAATACACAGAAGCAAACAAGCGAGTGAAGTGGAACATTAGGGAATGATAAGCAGAAATAGGTTGAACACCTAGCAACGACAGTGGAAAAAGTTGTAAGAGAACTATGTGACACAGTGAAGAAACTAGTAGGGAAATGTAGTGAATCAAAGCGACTAGTCATAGACAAACAAGATAATACAATCACTGCGATTCAAGTTCAGAGGAATAGATTGGTAGTATATTTCGAAGAACTCTTGAATAGACCTGATCCATTAAACCTATCGGACATCGAAGCAGCACCAACAGACCTTTCAATAGATGTCACTCCATTAATGATCAAAGAAATAGCATTCATATGTATTGGCTATTTGAAACGTGTGTCCTGGATTCCACTGCCAATCATCATCTATCTTTACTTATAATGCTTGTGACTAAATAGCAATATTGACGCAATTAGATCAGAATGTTCGTGAGAGAATTAGAAACGGATCAATTGCAGTCCTAAACATCAATGTTAAGATTTTAACAGGCAATATGACATGAACAATTTATATAATTAAACTTAGTTGAAGTATTAAAAAAACAGATATCAAGTTAGTATTCACTTAGTATTGTTTGTTTGGATCTTTCCATCGATCTTCCCATCGACGAAACGCGCGTCCTGGATTCCACTGCCAGCCACTATCCATCTCTGCTTACCAGATATCAAGTTAGGCTTAAAAATGTTATTTTTGTTATCCATAACTTAATGAAGAAAGAAAACCATTTAATTAGATATCAGGAATAGGTTCTTTCAAAATCTAATGACTTCAGTATTCTATCATCTGCTTGAAAAGCTAAATTGATTGGTTTTCAAATAAATTTGTTTTAAATTCTGTTTTTTTTTCTTCTGGAAATATAATCCTTACAACCTCTCATCGCGTGTTATGATTCAATTTTTTCTTCGGACTTATCGACTTTTATTAAATACATTATTGTTCATATTAGTTCATGTAGCTTAATGTTACCTATTAATTTAGTTAATCTGTCATTCATTTCGATCTTTTTAGCTTATACATATACATAATGTCCTTCATATGGTTTAACTATATCAAACAACATTTGTAGATGGCTTTTGATTTGAAATTGAATTTCCTGAAATGGGCAACACATTTTGTATTTATCAGTTTGATTGCTCCAGTGGAACCAGTTATGTCGGTCGGAGTGCTAGGAATTCACATTTTCTTACTCTCGGACACCTCTCTTCGTGGCTAAGCCAAGGTCTGGTAAATAAAGTGAACAGCTTGATACTGGCCCATTTAGTGTAAATTGGTCGTAGTGCCAGTATAAACCGATCATTTTCAATTACTTATCTGGTCAGTAATATTTTACCAAAGCTTGTCAGACCTAATATCCTCCAAATGACTGAAGCTGTAGCCATTCGGATTAAGAAATCTGAGCTATGTATACAAAAGAAAAATCTTCAACCTCTTCTCCTCCCCTGAGAAACCTCAAGGTAAATTAATCAATAGTTATCTTAGCTATTGAATAACCTAATTTGACTATTTTAATTACGACCTTTCGTAGTCAAATGTAAGCCATGACCAATGGAGTTCAACCGGGTCTGTTGTGAGATGGTAACTCACTGAAGACAATAATGGCGTGAATTTTATGCATTGGCCGATATATATTTATATTACACGTATGATACCGGTGCCTACGTGTTTCAGTTACAACTCAGCATACACTTTAAAGCGTTTCAAATCATTGTCGGAATAACTAAGCATTTTATTGCTCATCAATTATCTGTTATTTTTGATAAAACAGCTATCGATCGAGTTTTACCAAAGTAACGTTTGAATTCGGCTACAAATATGACTGATAATTTGTTAGACATTAAATAGGAATTATATATTTGTAAAATCTCAGCGAATGAATTTGAAGTAAATCCAACGTTTCGCCTGGAAATCTGGTCCCTTGAAGAAGCTTGGACCAGAGTGCCAGACAAAACGTTAGATTTATTTCAAATTCATTCGTTGAGATTTTACAAAGACATTCTTCCTCTTTAATTCTCAAATGCTATTTCCAGTCTAGTTGGTCTTTTATTTTTATATCTAAATGTTCTTAACAAGTATATAGTGTGTGATCAGATTGTTCGAAATGTATTGCGCTGATATATATCACAGTTCTGATAATCTTCGTCTTCTTATTACACTATCGAAATTTGTTAAAAAGACCAATTGCTTTAAATGCTATTACACCAACATGAGCATCTATCGTATTGTTATGCCCCAATAACAATAGTGAATAGTAACTTTGAGATCCATTTATGAACCAATATTACCCACATAATTTTTATCGTATATTTGCTAAATAATTAAACTACTCATATTCATGTTCCTTTCATAGTGAGCTTTATTTTGACCCTTGGACTATTATTGTACGATTTACCATTCCTGAGTTATACCCAGTCTATTAATTACTGCTCTCCCTATTCACAACCACATTTGGCTAACTCTTGTACAAATGTTATTTTCTATTTTGTTGGTACGATATGGTCAATCTGTTTGGTATATAAATTCAGTATGTTTAAAATACAAGAAATCATACTGCAGAGGCTTTTATTGGTGTTCTGGACTTAACTGATTGGGCTAGGCAGAAAGCAGGACCGATACGTACTCTAGACTGCTCGTACGGTTTTCGTATGTCACTGTTCCAATCGATAATTCGCTGCTCTTTGATTGGTAGTCTTAACACATCATACGTTAGCAAGGCATCCACTCCGCCATTAGATAGATAGATAGATTATTAAACAGAGTTGAACAGTAAGCATTAAAAAAGTAATAAACATTATTTCAATGTATCATCAGAACGACGATTACGTCCATCAGTTTTAATGAACTATGGTAGGTAGTAATACCGTTTGAATTAAAAAATGATAAATCAACAGTTTTCGATTATTGACTGTATAAATCAAAATTTTTCTACGATACTTTGCATATCCTGTCAACAAGGATACTTTACTTGAACTAATGAAAAAGAGATTAGACATTCAATAGTTACTAAATATTTGAGTAAAAGGAGTTTGTAGATTATTCACAGTCAGATTTCTGTCAGTAATGACAGTGATTCATTATATGATTCTTTTTTATGTATAACTTTTCTTCAAAAAAGAAAAAAAAAAACTCAGTTTAATGATAACAAACTCATATGAGTACCGGATGAAAACAAGATTATAAATTGAATCTAAATCATTAATCATATATTAAATACTATTACTCATAATGAATTAATATAAAAATCTTAGCATTATAAATGCTTAATCTCTCCTTATATAGTTAATTTGTTACACTGAATGATTGAAGCTTGAATCCTATGAGAATTAATGGTTCCCTCATGATTTTAGATAAGTTATTGTTAATGTGTGTTAGCTAGTTGAAAATCTAGGTCTATAGTTTGATATTAATTACCTTCTAACATCAAAATGCCATAAATATTTGTTTTTTAAGCGGCTACTTATAAGTAGTACAGAATGACCATTATTTTTAAAATATACACAATTGTTATTACTGTTCATAAACTACATCTAGCGAAGTATCTTTATATTGATGAGTTATTTTTTTATCGTATACGCCAGGTATCAATTTTCAAAAATTTTTTTTTGCTATGATGTCCTCACTTTGGTATAAATCATTAACAAAACACTTTTAGTCTACTAGATATAATAGAATAGGTTGATCATTTTGTGGTGCGTGTCACTGATGTCGATTGATATAAGTAGTATGTATCATTAGTCGAAAGAGGAATACCTGAATGTAGAAGGTCAATTATGGGACTTTTCAACAGTGCACATCCACGATCCCGCCTCGCGAGATTCAAACCCAGGACCTAACAGTCTTGCGTCAGAGCATTTAACCGGGTTAAGTGCTAGTAGGACAAAACGGCCATCCAGTGCTTCCAGGTTTTTCATGATGGTTTAACTTCAATGGACTCATGATTTCAACTATAAAAAAAATACTGTTTATCCTTTCAAATTTATTATTATAAATATTCTTGAACATTTTATGAATTCCTTATTTGTTCATTGAATATTTTGCGATAGACCCTTTGATCAATATTTTTTTTCAAAATAAATAACAGTAAAATCAACTTTAATACTTACTTTATAAAACCTTTGATGCTTGCATAGATTTCTGAAAAATAAAAAAGAGAAAGAAACAAGAGTATACCATGTTACACATCAAATAAAAATTAATCAATTACAAAAGAAGAAAAAACAATGTAATATACTTCAGAGATCTTACTGTGTACAACCCTTGTTGTTGTTGTTTTTTTGTTTTTTTGTTGTTTGCAGGAAATAATCACGTCAATACCTTCAAGGAATAAATTTTTCGAAAATTTATAATTTATCTATCATATGTTCGATCTTGTTTTTAGTGTTATTTCTTAATCTAATAAACATACATAATACATAATTTGTAATTAAAATTCTCAACAGGTAATTCTTTGGACCAATCAAAGCTCACCCCCCTTTGGTTTTTTCCCATTTTATAAAAACATTCACAAATTTAAGCTGATCAAAGCTAAATTTGTTTTTCTGACAAAATTTTGTTTATGCTTATCGTACGAAGTGTATGATTTATTCCATTTATTGATGAAATATTATACAGGCAGTGTAGAACTTAATAAGCAAAGATGAATGATGGAATGAAATGGTATCCAGAATGCGCGTTTCGTCCTATTTAGGACTCGCCAATATGGATTTATCTGCATCTCAGAGTTGATGTTCACTCTGGGACTCGAACGCAATACCGTTCACTTTTTATATTTCAGGAAATAATAATTAGAAATTACTAAAGAGAATTCACTTCACTGTACTTTCTTTGTTATATAAATTGGTTAGTTTAAGTCTGAGCCAGAGTACTTAGAGAACAAAATCTGTGTAAATTGTTGCCATAATAATACCATATTATTTTTAAGTATGCCATAAATAGATCAATTTAACTCTGCATTTGTAACATTAACTGTTCAAGTAAACATTCATCTTGTGGATTATTAACATCGCTAATACACAATTAACTCAGACTGACTATTTTAACAAACGATTATCAATTTTTACTTTGAATATCAAAGTGGGGAACCGTCTTCAGCCGGTGATTTTTGAAGAATCTACGCTTTCATCTCGAGATATCATCATTCTTCTAAATGAAGATCTTTTAACTCCCAAGACAGAGTTTAAATGGTTTAAATGATTCTTTGGAGTAAGAACGTTTTTAGAAAGTTTACTTTCAAGGTATGATGTTGCCGAACTCATTTCAAACCCTCCTCCATCTGGTCTTGAGACAAGCATGACAATGCATATTTATTCATCCTATCATCATTAATCTACTCCATATTTTACATGTTGAAACATTCGTTTCCTTGTATAATAGTTTTATAATCACTTTATTTAAGAAAAAGTCTTATTGCCTTCCTTAGTTGAAGTTATGTTATATTCATGTCTTAATCTATTAAATAATACAATACAATGAACATATGTTCAGACTGCGTGCAACTGGCTTTAATTATCCAATATACAGTTATGTTAATGAAATTTTGATACCATTCCCTTAAACCATAATTTTAAATAAGCTTATTATAATACATATAAAAAAGCTTCGTGAAACATCTTATAACTGTTTAATTTACTATCATTATTCAATCAAATTATTTACCAAACACTCTAGTACATACCTTTTCTGATTTTGACTAATATAGTATATCAGAAGGGGGTTTCGTGGAGATTTTAGTAATTTTTATATAGTTGAGATCATGATTGAATTGAAGCTAGACCACCATGGAAAAAAACTGGAAGCACTGGATGGCCGTTTTGTCTCGCGAGGAGGGATCGAATATGGGCACTGCTGAGGAGCCTCACAATAGGACGAAACGGCCATCCAGTGCTTCCAGTTTTTTTCCATGGTGGTCTAGCTTTAGTTGACTGATGATCTCAACTACCTCATATAGTATATCAAAGTCACTACTGACTATCTTGTACTTTTATAGCAAACGTAGACCTACGTAGGAAGTTTGGATATCATCGAACAAGTTCGAGAGTCTGAATCAAGTCCTAACTAAAAATTAAAAAATATTCATAGGTGGTTATTATTATCATCATCCTGTTCATCAGTGTTTATGCCTTATTGAGTATGAAGCTGTATATAGTTACTTTTATTGTATGTTATATTACCAAGTAATTAATTGAATATTACACTATTCATTGATTATAATATTTAAACGTTTTTCATTATTGATGAGATCCAAATTGCTTAATTTTTAATAATCTACCAAAATTAGCAAAGATGGATAGTGGTTCGCAGTGGAATCCAGAATGCACGTTTCGTCCTATTTGGGACAGGTTAACTGGATGCACCTGCATCCCAGAGTTCATGTTCACTCTGGGACTACAACGCAATACCGTTTGCTTCAAACGCCATCACGTTATCCACTTAGCTACTGAGTCCTACTTTGCTTATAAAGCTTGTGGCTTCAGGCAATATCGAGGCAGTCCTCACAGGATGCAAATATATCAATAAAAGACTGATCAATTGAAGTCATAAATAATAATGGGAAGTTAAAAGCAAACAACACCATGTGAACTACTAAAATTAGGTTATAAATTGTAGAGTTTATAGAGTTTATTTAAATCACAATCAACATTGTAAACTATTTTAGTGTTCTGATAAGTTTACACTGTTTTCCTCGTCTAGATGTATGATAAAGGGGCCTGGTTCAAATCATTTTCTAGTAATATATATATCATTACTATAGAAACTGATATCATAAGAAAATCTCTATATATTACCTTATATAATCGATCTCGTTCTACCATCTCTCTTCTACGTTTGCTTGCCTACAGAAAATATGAAAAAAATTGAAAAAAAAAATTAATTCAATGAATTAAAATGTTACCTAATGAATTTTGAAATAAACATCACCTCATGAATAGTACGTTCAGGACTGGAGTTACATTCATTTATTCAAACAAGATTTAATCAGATTTTAAAGAATTAACACGAATTATAATTCAATGTAGCATGTTTTGATGTTCAGTAGACTATGTAGTTAAAAATATTGGTTGAAGTTAGACATTAACATCGTTGGATACCATCCGGCTCAGTGGTCTATCGGTTAAGTGCTCTGGCGCGAGACTGGCAGATCCTGGGTTCGAATTTCGCTCACGAGTTGGGATCGTGAATGCCCACTGTTGAGGAGTCCCATAGTAGGAAGAAACAGCCGTCCAGTGCTTCTAGGTTTTCCATGGTGGTCTAGCTACAATCGACTCATGATTTCAACGATGAAAATACTGAAATCTCCACAAAACCCCTTCTGATTAAAAATATCCATTGATTTACTGGTTAGTTTTTTTCATTGACGTTACCATGACAGTATTCTGATCCAAATATTTTTGAGATATAATATGTAAAACTGTGTTGAAGGCATATATTTATGTCTCGGGTCGCGCGACGTTTCACCAATAACAATACCATGTAAACCAAGGTAATACAGTGACAAGTGAACTGTTACCAATACTAACCTCTAACTAATCATGATCAGCAAATATTAACCTCCTTTTTCGTTATTTTACTGAAATAATTCATACTGAGTTCAATATACAGGACATGTCAAATTCCGTTTGACTTCCTCAGACAACTCATAAGACGAATCAAAATAACATCGTTAGCAGCTATAATAATACGCATATCTCTATACCAACCAATTCGGAATATTTCGCAGACTTAACGTTCACAGATAAAGAATGTGAAGTTAACCAGTTGTTAGATCCAGCTCATCAGTCGTTTTAGAGAAGAACTTTTTAAAAACAGTCAAAGGGGATCGATTGTCTCTAGAGGTAAATATTTGTTGCTCGATCATTTTCTCTCAACTTCAATCGGTGAATAGCATCACCATAAGAAAAATCAAGATTGCTCACAAATGTGATGAAAGATCGATGTTTACCAGAAATTGTTACAACATTGTAACTTCCCGTTAAACACTAACAGTTTGAAGCTGATTACATTTTTTTCAGGAGTGCTGATTACTATAAAATATGCATGCGAAAATGTTGTTACTTCAAGAATATATGTACTACAAGTTTCACACACTGACAGAAGAATGTAGATCAACATCTAACCTGACTGGTAGATAAATATGTTGGGTTATACTTGAATGTTTATTTATCAAAGTCAGTGTGGCATCATAATGCTCGAGCTGACCGAACACTGTCACAGCAGTCTCAGGCTAATATCAAATGTTAGTTGACTGATGCATCATCTCGAATACACTAGAATGATGTGTGAATACTTAGTGTTGAATGTCGGCTTATCAAGACTTCTCTTTCTGTCTACTGACAATGTGAAATATAGTGTTGCGAACTAACTTGTCACTTCGACAGATAGACTTTCGAGACTAATCCAAGCGTGAGTAAAATGACGTGTGCTCCACAGCAAATACTTCCTAATCTTCACTCGAATTCATTTTAGGCTATATGACAACATTAAATGATTGTTCTGTTCTCTGGTTACTCAGTTTATCAGACAAAAGTCTTGGAAACAATAGAAAACAACTGATAATCCGATGTTTACAGAAAATAAAAGTAGTCAAACCTTAATTGTCAACGATTTACAGTTTATCGCCTACCTACATAATTAGGTATACAAGCTCATTCAAATCAGTTAGGATTTTACTAAACAGTTTACAGACAATTTTTCAACGTAGAAAGGGTGATTGGTGAAATGTAATCCAATAGTTTTATCATTAAGAAACTCGAACTGTCGAGTATTTTCAATGTACATCATAGAACAGTCATTGCATCAAACACTATAAGCATTATGATCTATCGAACCTTAAGAGCACAAATGATGACAAATTTTGGAAGAAAGTTGGGCTTCAATGCACTATTGAGGAATATTTCACAGCTTTAAACTCATGTGCACTGAATTAAATAACATTAATATTGTCTATATGATTTAGAACATACACTGCACTGCAGTTAGTTTACCTTAAATTTATATTAGAACATGTATTAGTTGTTTAAATTTTCACGACGACATTTATGACTGTGATTGATCAGTTTCATATTGGCATATGTTCATGTTGTACATATTGGCCGATATAGTCATTAAGTCACAAGCATTCTAATCAGAGATGGATGTTTCTCGGTAGTGTAATCCAGGACACGCGATTCTAACATCTAAAGTATATGAATTAAATTTTACTGGCTTTTTTTATTTAATGATTGATTGAATGCGGCGATGATGTTTGTAGGAAACAGTAGTGAGTTCAAATCACGAAGTGAACATCCGTTAAGGAATGAAGTTAGATCCAACTGACGAGTCTTAGATAAGAGGAAATGCATGTTCTGTATTCCCCTTCAAGCTATTATTTGTCTATACTTATATTAGAATAGTTTGTGTATATTCATAGTCAATAATATCAAAAGTAGTCTGTTTATTTTATATTTGAAAGTGTAAACCTCAAACAATTATCTGTAGTAAATGTCGATGATAATAAATATCACGTGCCAACGTTTTATTTCTTTTCTTTCCTTTTATATGAACTTTATAATACAAGGAACTAAAACGAAATATTAAAAATAGTTTAAGCAATTCAAAGTATTTTGGAATCCGGAAGGGAAGAGGAAAAAAGGAAGGCCAAAGAACACATTATGCAGGGAAATAGAAGCAGATATGAAAAAGATGAATGTTAACTGGAAAGAGCTAGAAATGATTGGCCAGGACAGAGTAGGATGGAGAATGCTGGTGTTCGGCCCATGCTCCTCCACGAGGTGTAACAGATGTAAGTAAGTAAGTAAGTAATTCAAAGCATTATGAATTGAATTGTTTAGTTGTTATTTTTTTGTTGTTAAATAACGAAAATACATTCTTCATATACAAGATATTATCCCATTCAATATGACGGGAACATTTATAATTCTTTAAGAATAATCTAGCATATATTAATTATGTAATAATTCTTACTTTCTATTAAATGAATAAATAATGAAAGGAGAAAAATAAAATGTTTATGCAAATTATTGTTGCTATGCTTTATTTATCTTGTTCAAGTTTTTCTTCAAATGTTTCTTAGTATTTGGCTTAGAGAGATATTAAAGTTTGTTTAATTTCTAAATGATTTCATTAATTAACAGAACAGTTTTTCTGTTCTATAATGAAACTTCATATTATCATTTAGTTAGTGAGTCAATTGAAGCTAGACCACCATGGAAAACCTGGAAGTATTGGACGGCCGTTTCGTCGTATTGTGGGACTCCTCAGCAGTGCGCATCCACGATCCCATCTGGTGAGATTCGAACCTACGACTTATCAGTCTCGCGCGCAAGCGCTTAACCCCTAGAATACTAAGCCGGCATCCAACAGTATTAATGTCTAACTTCAACCAATCCACGAAATTGAGCAACCGCCCAGCATTGGTTTAAGTGAGTTACTATCACACAATAGACCCAGTTGAACTCCACTTGTCATTGCTTCTCACTAGAACTCCAGGAAATTTAGTCAAGAATTGAGCCAAAGACTTCAAGATACTATTGTTGGGAAATTATCTTTACATTACTGAGTTTGAATTCGGTAATTAATGTTTACGATTTTCATTAATCTATGATATAGCACAACATTTATATATGACGTCATAGAAGAGTAACTCCATCATTCTTCATTACATTTAATATAATTCTACGCAGATGTAAAGGGCAATTATTATAGATTATTATTTATTTATCAAACAATTACATTTACCCACAAAAACTTTACACAAATATACGATAATGATGATGATGATGATGATGATGATGATGATGATGATGATGATGATGATGATGATGATGATGATGATGATGATGATGATGATGATGATGATGATGATGATGATGATGATGATGATGATGATGATGATGATGATGATGATGATGATGATGATGATGATGATGATGATGATGATGATGATGATGATGATGATGATGATGATGATGATGATGATGATGATGATGATGATGATGATGATGATGATGATGATGATGATGATGATGATGATGATGATGATGATGATGATGATGATAAGTAACACTAACAAGTAGTATTTAGAACTAGTTAATATAGAAATAAACCTAAAAATCTTACAAAATATACAACCTTAGTTTATTCATTATTTATATTACCTATACAGAAAATATATATGTGTAACTATAAAAATCTTCACAGAATGTAGTTTGTAAGTTTAGATTGATCCATTTATTCATCAAATCATTCGATAGATTTTTTTTCTGAAAATAGATCACTAGATCAATGACTTTCTGGCTTTACCAACTCCATAAACATCATCTTTAAGAGATGATTCCCTGGTAAAATAATCGAGGTGTATTGTCTACTGAAATGATGGAATTCCTGATAAAGCGGAAAAGTGAAACCTAAACTCATACATAACTGTTTACTTAGAGCTTTTAAAATTTTCAAAAACGTATGAAAAATGGGAGTTTACCAATGAATTTCTATTACTAGTAGGTGTAAGTATTCAAAACCACTAATTGTATAAAGAGTGGTAAACTAAAACAATCTATACCGTCAATGATTTTCACATACAGTATGGTTTCGTGTAATATACTTTAAAGCAGGAGATAATAATCCATGTTATACCTGTTTATTGACTAAAATCTTTATAATTTTGAGTAGAAAGCTGGAAAGTAATATCACAGATTACATTTCCATTGATTTACTTATGGTATCAGTCAGTCAGTCAAAACGTAGAACTTCGTACGTACGTACATCAGTTCGAGTTGCCATATCACATTAGCACAGAGATTCAGTTGTCGATTCAAATCCCATAGTGATAGAAGTATAAGCATTATACTTATGGTATAGGCAAAAATGTAATAGGAAAAATTATAAATATGTATAAAATTCTATACTTACGTCAAAATACAACCAAAATATAAATGTCAAATGAGCTAATACATATAATATGCAGAATGATACGAAAACATCTCTTTCAATTCTCATCATTAGTCGACGTTTATGTTGTTCGCGACTTTTGGATTGTAATGCTAAAGCTATCCATGTTTGCTGATTCAATTGTTGAGATAATTTCTGTGCATTTTGCCTATCGACAATTTGTTTATCATTATTTGAAGTGATATCACCATTTGTAGATTTTTCTATCTGTATTATCAAGAAATAAATACAAAATTAATTTCAATAAGATAAGAAAGAACATGAAGTTCAGCATTTAGATAGTCACTACCAGGATTGCTTTGTATTCAACTGTTAAAATCAGAAAAAACACATACTACCCATGATATAAATGCTGAAGTGTATGTACAAATGGCGCATTATAAGAATGGGTTTTTTTTGTGGAGATTTAGTATTTTCATATTTGAAAGCGTGAGTCAATTGAAGCTAGACCACAAGGAAAAACCTGCAACCACTGGATGGCCGTGGTGATCTATCTGTTAAGTACTCTAGCGCGAGACTGGTAGGTCCTGAATTCGAATCTCGCGAGGCAAGGTCGTGGATGCGCACTGCTGAGGAGTACCATACTAGGACGAAACGGCCATCCGGTGCTTCTAGGTTTTCCCTGGTGGTCTAGCTTCAATTGACCCACTCTTTTAACTGTGAAAAGGAGCATTGTTTATCATTATCTTTACTGTGACTTTGAAAATATTATTACTATTTTATTGTTATTACATAGATTCTGTAAATAGAAATATCCCTCTCTTTTTTGGTTATTTCTCATATTCCAATGACCTTATTGATAAATTTTTCTGATTTCATTTCGTTTCTTTTCATTCCTGTACTACACTTATTTATTGTAACGAAATATATTTAGTTATATTACTCTGTTGACCAGCGATATTTAAAAAGATAGTGATATTTTTCTTTCTGAGTAAGTTTTAATTGTTTTGATTGTTTATTACGTATCAAGACTACTGCTTACACTTTGATTGAATTTATTTTAATTAAAGTACCCGCTAAGAGTATCGTTTTGCTTTGTTTCTAAATTAGTTTGTTGTCGTACTTTTGAGTACATTGTTTCTATTGTAGTTGTTAGCACTTTTGGTCCTAATAATCTACTTTTTTTCAACTTTTTTAGTCATATGTCACTTTTGTCTCTATGTACTATAGTGTCTAGTTTGTATTTAAAAACATTGGATCGATAACTGAACAGTGCAAAAAAGCAGTTGCTAACGTCCGGGCTGTCGATACCCCGTTGAAAGCGGCGTGCATTGAGATGGATGTAAAGGCTCGTATCATGAAGTTTGCATGATTTCGACGTCTGCAGCTTTCAAACGGTCCAGTAAAAAGGGTTGCGTATGGCTTTGTCAGCAGTGCTGCTCGGACGGAAACAGCTTGCTAAACGAGGCCAATTCAACGGTGAACGCTGCTAGCAAGCGCATTAGAAAACAAGGTCGGGACACATGGAACAGTACTCACCCTGCCGACACACAAATCGATCTGAAACCACCTCAAATGTAATCGGTAACAAATGACTTACATCACTCAACGGAGAAAAAACCAGCTTCAAAGAGGCCTGTCCTAAATATAAACCCAGGAAATAAAGTTTCCTCTGTACCCGTCCTTTAAATGGTGGTAGGCAGGAAAGGTCTAAAAAAGCCCAATCACAAGGTCAGATCAGTTTCTAATAGGAAACACAACCCAACTGCCCGATTCGTTGATAATCTTCCAAAATCACACAGTATGCTTGACGTCACTATAGCTGCTACTCCAACGAAAGCTGATGAATGAGTACAGGTCGTAAACAAGAAACGATATAAAGATATAAAAGAAAATGCAACTCTTCAAAAAGTAGCCGTGTAATTAAAGACTAGTCACTTTTACAGGTCATTTATTTTTCATAGAATTAAGGAGAGTGAAAGTCTGAACCTAAAATTCGTTCTGAGCATGACATTTGGTTGATAAAACAGCTACTTAATCAGATTATGCCACAGGATATATCTAGAGTCACCTTGATAAATGTGCATAGACTGGGTAGTCAAGGGAACTTAAAACAGAATCAAACCAGATTGCTTAAAGTAATATTTATGTCTCCTAATGAACGGGACATAATTTGACAGAATCGATATAAACTAAATAGTTCAGGAGTTTTTGTTCGTAAGGATTTGCCGCTCGCAGACCGTGTCAAAAGACGAGAGGCAGAAAAAGAACTACAAATTAGGTTAGAAGCTGGCGAAAATCACCTAAAAATTGTAAATTTTCGAGTTGTGAGGCTTTGACAGATAATGATGCTGAAGCCAGTATGGGTGCAGCACGAAGCTATTTAAATAGGCTTCGGATCTGTTACACTAATTCCCAAAGCTTTCTCAATAAGCTGTCGGAACTGGGTGTACAGATTGACCCTAGCAAGCTAGATATAATCGCAGTCACAGAAACTTAGCTGACACAGACTATAGATAATATTAATCTTGATTTTGAAGGTTTTATGTTGGTAAGACTCAACAGAATCCAGAAGCGTAAAGGAGGGGGAGTAGCTCTATTCATTAGGAATACTATCTCATTTGCCATTATCGACAGTGTATACCACGAGAGTGAGACGTGTGAATTAGTTGCTTACCGCTTAAAATGCAAGGGACAAGAGCTGTGGATTGGTTTGGCCTACCGTAATATTCCATCACTATGGGAAGACAGTAATGCTACATCATTAGTGGAGGACAACTTTGGTAAAACTCAAGTATTCTCAAACTACTTTAACAATGTATATACTATCGAAATACCATTCCCGTCAGTCCATACAAATCCCCCCATACACGCACTGGACAACGTGACCATTGAAGAACTTGATATTTTTGGTCTGCTAAATAAGCTTGACATAGGCAAATCAACGGGACCCGATGAACTGAATCCTGGGTTACTAAAGGAATTAGATAACTTTGTTGCAAACCGTTTAAGCATATGCTTTAATCTATCCGTAATCCTGGGTTGTTTACCAAAAGACTGGAGGAACGCCATAGTAAATCCTGTCTTCAAAACAGGTACGAAATATAAACCTAAGAATTACCGACCAGTTAGCCTAACTAGCGTGGTTGGTAAAATTTTAGAAAAGATTGGTCAAAAGGAGCTGTTTAAATATCTCGATGAAAACCAGATTCTTTCAGAAAAGCAGCATGGTTTTAGAACAGGTCATTCCTGCTTCACTAACTTGATAGTTGCTCGCAAAAACTGGTGCGATTTCAAAGACCAAAAGTTACTTACAGACGTATCCTATATTGACCTCAGCAAAGTTTCTGACAAAGTTACCCACAACCGGCCGTTATATAAGTTAAGAAATGTTGGGTTTGGAAGCAATATATTAATGTGGATAAAAGACTTCCTAATTGGGCGCCAACAAAGAGTACGGGTGAACTCCAAATTGACGAGTTGAAAAGCTGTACTTAGCGGAGTGCCTAAAGGTACAGTTTTGGGACCAGTATTATTCCTCTTGTATGTAAATGACCTCCCTCGTCTCCTATCATCATCGGTCTTGCTATATGCTGACGATGTCAAAATATGGAGGGCGATAAGAAGAAAAGGTGATAAATTAGAACTTCAAGATGACCTGGAGAAGTTATCTGAATGACCTCAAACCTGGAAGCTGCTGGCAAATACTCCCAAGTGTATTGTGATGCATATTGGTCATCAAGGTACGGATACATACACAGTGAATAACATTGAACTATCTATTGTCCAGACACACAATGACTTGGGAGGCATCGTTAGCCGAGAATTAAAGACTACTTTACACTGCCGTTCATACAAGCTGTTAACCCTTGCCTAAAAAAGATAGTAAACCTTTGGAAAAGGTTCAGAGAAGAGCAACTGAGCTGACTGCCAGAATAGTGAAGCTCCCATATGATGCTCGACTGGCTAAGTTAAACCTATTCCCGTTGTCATATCGAAGAACTAGAGGTGACTTGGTTATTGTTTTCAAATTATTTAGTGATAAATTTGCCTCTGATATGCCCTCATTTTTTCTTATCTTCCAAAACAGAGAATTTACTAAGACAATTAAGAAAAATTCACAATCCCAGGACAAATTACTTGTCAGATGACTATCGACTTTCCTATCCAATCATCAACGAGTGGAATTCATTACCTCAGCACGTGGTTGAGGCTCCATCCGTCGACTCTTTCAGGAGGAAGTTGTATCAGACGAGTGACCATAATTGCCAGGACTAACATAGGCTATCAGCCTCCTGTCCTTTCCAAAATGTAACTTAAACTGAAACTGTTAGCGTTATAATCCACTGTTAAATTGATTTTATACACCATTTTATTTACACACATCACGTAAACATCAAACAAACTTTTATTGTTATAATCAGAAGGGTCTAGCTTCAAGTGACTCACGATCTCAACTCTATAAAATTTTATTGTTAATGTTTGTACTATGCAACTTAATATTATAATCTTTCTTTTACGTCATTTTTGTTTATTGTTCATATTTCCCTATAAAATTAATAGCTAAATTTCATATCATTAAAATAACGCATTGTGCTATCCGAATAAAGAGAATTCAGGGAAGAAAATTTTCAGTTCGACGAAATCATTTACTTAAGCTGTATATTCGTATTTATAGTTGCACTAGATCGAATGGTCGGTGGCCTATGCTCCATTGGGAGTAACAGGCGTAAGTAAGTAAGTAAGCAAGTAAGATCGAATGGAGGTCAAATCAAAAACTTATGCACTACGGAAGCGTTGGAGATCCACTAATTCAAGCCCGAACTCTGTGTGCAGAAACGATACGTCCCCTCTCTTATCCTTCTTCGACCCTAATTTCCTTTTTTTTTCCTTTTTTATGCTAGTGTTTTGTAATTTTAAGCTGTAGGCAGTTATTAACCTTTAACAAATTTTCATTATTATTATTCAGCTGACCTTTATGTTTTTCGTTTATTTTTCTTCATATCTGTCAAGCGGACAATTATCTTTCATAATTTTGACCCGTAAATTAATTTCATCCTTCTATTCTCTTCTAACCCCCCGTTTATTACGTAATCTTTATTTGATATTTAGAGTCTCGAATCACTTTATGTTGTAATCTTTCCTATCCTTACAAGATATTTATTTACCGTACAGCTATTAATACGAATATACAATTTATATACATGTATATAGATACTATTGTACAGTTTGATAATAAATTCTTTGAAACGAGATCTATTTTCTGAACTTTATGTTTTTAATGTTTAAATGATACGTTTGGTGACAACATGAAACACAAATACGAAGTAATGCAATGTAGAAAACACTTGATAATTGATTTATTTAATGATACATTGTGACTTACGGAATTATAGTAAACCAGAGAGACCAGTCAAGGATAAACAAGGTAAGATAATCACCAAAATTCAAGAACAGAGGAACAGATCAGTAGAACACATCGAGGGACTCTTGAATGTACCAGCTCGATTAAACCCATCAGAAATCGAAACAACACAATGTCACTCCAACAACGATCGAAGAAATCAGGATGGCCATCAGACAAATGAAGAGTGGGGAAGTCGCTCGACCTGACAATGTACCAGATCGAGCACTGAAGAAGGATATGGAAGTTCTATTCATGAGGATGTAGGAGGAAGAACAAGTTCCATGGACAAAGTGGAAATAAACATGACTCATCAAGATACCGACGAAAGGAGATCTCAGAAAATGTGAGAGCTACAGAGGAATCACATTACTGTCAGTATCAGGAAAAGTTTTCAACAGAGTGCTGCTGAACAGGATCAAAGAATAAGTGCGCTCTCAAATTCGTGATCAGGAGACTGGATTCCTGACGGATCGGTCGTACGCAGACCAAATCACGATACTACGGATTGTCGTTGAGCAATCGATCGAAAGAAACTGGTCACCATACATCGAATTCCTTCACTATGAGAAGGTATTTTACAACATGAATAGGAGAAAATTATGGAAACGTTTTCGACACTACGGTGTGAGTATCTGAAAAGATCGTCAACATCATACGGAATTCATACGACAGACTACATTGCAAATTCGTGAATAGAGTAAAGCTGACAGATGAATTCCAAGTGAAGACTGGTGTCAGACAAGACTGCTTACCCTCACGTTTTCCCTCTCTTCTAGTGTTTAACTTGATTATGAAAACCTCTACATCTGAGATAAAGCACGGAATACAATGGAGAGCTTGGATGCGTCTAGACGATCCGGACTTCACAAATGACCTAGCTCTTCTATTCCATACACATCAACAAATGCAAGTCAAGACGACCAATTTAGCAGCAGCTGCCTCTGTATCAGTAGACCTCATACACAAACAATGGAAAACACAATGTCCTGAAATATAACATGCAGAACATCAATCCAATCTACCGCGGTAGCGAAACAAACGCTGGAAGAGGTGGAAAACTTAACGTATCTGGACAGCGACATTGATAAACATGGAAGATCTAATGCAGATGTTCATGCAGTGATTGACGAAATAAGGACATCAATCCCAACAGTTAAAGAAGATCTCGAATTCAAAACAACTGTGTGCAAGCCAATATCAAATTCAGAAACTTCAATACAGTCCTGTTGTATGGATTTGAAACGTGGAGAACTATTACAACCATCATCAAAATCGTAAAAGTATTTATGAACAGTTGTCTACACAAGGTACTCAATGACCGTTGACCGGATACATCAGCAACAATTTACTGTGGGAGAGGTTAAACCAGCTTTCACTTGAAGAGGAAATTAGAAAAAGACGTTGGATGTGGATATGACATACATTGAGGAAATCATCATGCTGCATTATGAGGCAGGCGCTAACTTGGAATAGTGAAGAGAAACAGAAAAGTAGAAGATCGATGAACACACTGTGTCAAGAATCGGAAGCAGACACTGAACGAATGAATAACAACTGGAATGAACTGGAAAGGATTGTCCAAAACAGTGTTGAATGTTGAATGCTGATGTGCAGCCCATGCCCCTTGAGAAGGGGTAACAGGTGTAAGTAAGTAACAATATGACATAACTATGTAAATAACAGTTGCATTTACTTGTTAACCACTCATTAATATTATCAATAACGTTGAATACTTATAACCATTGAACAACAAAGAAATATTTTTCAACTGGTTAATGTTTTATGATATCCACTAAACTATCCAAGTACTTTAAAAATACATTATACAGGAAGATAATTAAATAAACGATACTGACCTGGATTAAACTTGTATTATTTTTAACATCAACATGATAATCTATACTGGCATCATTTATTTGTCTAGATGTTATGTTGACGGCAGAAGAATGCGGAAATGTTAATCCTTTATAACGTTTCATAAACGAAAATTGGGGATTTGTTGTTTTTAAAAGATTTTTTGTAGTAAGCTGTTCAAATTCTGCATCACTTGGTATTAATGTAACTACTGCATGCCATACACTAACAACACATAATATTGCCAATGACATTAATACATATTTGTCCTGTAAAAATGGAAACAAACAATTTTTTTCAATAATTGAATTCATGAGTCGATATAAGCTAGATCACCACTGAAAACCCAGAAACTTTAGACGGTTGTTTCGTCCTAGTAGGGACTCGTTAGCATTGCGCTTCCATGCGGGACTCGAACCAAGGACCTTCGGTCTCGTGCGCGAACAGTTAACCTCTGAGCCACTGAACTGGCACTCAACGGTGTTAATGTCTAAAATATATGCTTAAAAGTATATGATATTCATTTTGTCTTCTTTTCAAGGTTTGGTGCTGGCTCACTCTAATAAATAGTTTTAAGTCTTTCATAAGAATTTTTTCACAAGACATTTAAACGAATTGTTTAGTCACTGAACTATACGGTCATTTATGAAGATAACAGAACAAATAAATTTAGAAATTTAATAGATCTAGATTTTGGTTTATTATGTTCTAATGAAGTAAATATCGGGAAAAAATCTACTATGTTTTCTTTAAAGAATTTATTTGTAATAACAGAAGGGGGTTTTGTGGAGATTTCAGTAATTTTATATAGTTGAAATCATGAGTCGATTGAAGCTAGACCATCATGGAAAACCTGGAAGCGCTGGACGACCGTTTCATCCTATTGTAGGACTCCTCAGCAGTGCTCATCCAGGACCCCGCCTCGCGAGATTCGAACCCAGAACCTATCAGTCTCGCGCGCGAGCGCTTAATCACTAGACCACTGAACTATTCACAAAATTTTCATGTTTTATAAGTTTTGAATGCAGAAAAGTATTGAACCTAAAAATAGACTTAAAGATCAGTATAAAATATGTAAATAGTATAAAGATATTTTTTTATTTTTCACCATAAAGGTAAATATATTGATCTGCTTTATCACCTCAAAATATACCTACCAAGCTCACTGTTACAGTAAAGAAAATTTTATCAGATATACTGATAGATGTTTTAACTAGCGAGTTAAGGAATATTTCTGTTTGGTGTTTGAAAAGAGTCAAATGCACTCAATAACCAACTTCTATGAGGGATTGTGAAACTCATCTATGGCATTCATAGTCAATTATCTCACTGTATCATATTTATATAGTGATTTTCAGTCCAAGTTCAGACAAGTGTTAACAATGTGTTTGAAGAAAGAACACTAATCTTTACACTCAAAAAAATATTTTCGGTGGCTTTTATTTCTTTATTTACCATCAGGATTTATTAAACGAATTTAACCTTATAAGCAAAAATGGATAGTGGATAGCGGTGGAATCCAGGATGCGCGTTTCTTCCTATTTGGGACTCATCAGCTGGATGTACTTGCATATCAGAGTTAGTATTCACTCTGGTACTCGAACCCAGTACCTTTCGGTTCAAACACCATCGCGTTATTCGCTTAGCTACTGAGTCCTAACAGCCATTTGCTTGTGCAATGGGGGGAAGTTTGAATTCTCTTAGTATTGTTTGTTTGACTCTTCTCATTGATGCTTAGGACTGTAACTTGTGAATAAGGGCAATATCGAGGCAATACGCACAGTATGCACATATGCCAATAAGAGATCGACTAGTTGCAATCCTAAGTATCAATGCGAAAATTGAAGCAAACAATACTAAGTGAATTGGAATTTAACCTTGTTCGTTGTGTTTGTTTGTCTACTCCACTTTCATGTCTTTTTTATTGTAATCGAAATTCAGATGTTTTGGGGGAATGTAGTATGTTGGCACTACTTAAAACTTACTACTGACTATTTTCTTTTATTTATATGATACTTTTGATTTTAATTTCCGGGTTTATTTATCAATACTGTACTATCAGCAGCAGCGTTTTATGGGAGAGGACAAACCAGCAGGTTCCAGCTGAAGAGGAAATTAAGAAGACGTTGGAAGTGGATAGGACATAAATTAAGGAAATCACCAATGTCCATTACAAGGCAATCCCTAACCTGGAATCCGGAAGGGAAGCGGAAAAGAGGAAGGCCAAAGAACACACTACGCCGGGAAATAGAAGCAAATATGAAAAGGAAGACTGTTAACTGGAAAGAGCTAGAAAGGAAGGCTAAGGACAGAGTTGGATGGAGAATGCTAGTGAGCGGCCTATGCTCCTCCACGAGGGGTAACAGGCGTAAGTAAGTAAGTAAACTGTAGTCATTATTCTCATATCTATTATTAGACTTATTCATAAACAAGATTTGAGCAGAGTATCATAAATTCATTTTGTTTCGTTTGGATCTCATCAGCTACTTAAAACTTGAGATATTTAAAAATCATAATTACAAAATGTATTTAGATTCCTTATAAGAAAAATTTACTTCAGCTATACATTTGTATTTATTATTATATGGAAAAAATATGTCTATAGAAGGATAGAAAAGATTGCATCATAATTGTCTAGAGGTCAAGCGTTTGCGAGCGAGAGCAATAAGTCCTGGGTTCAAATCCCGCGAGCAGGATTGTGGATGTGCACTGCTAAGGAGTTCCATACCATGATGAAACGGCCGTTCAGTGCTTATAAGTTTTCCATGGTGGTTTAACTTTCATTGACTTATAAATTCAACTATAAAATTACTAAAATCTCCACAAACCCCTCCCCCTCTGATAATTGTCAGATTGACAGATATGTAGATAAACGACAAACATAAAGGTCATTTATCATAAAAGTCAATTATCTTTCATAATTGAGACCCGTAGATTATTTTACAGATATTTCTTAAAGTTATTAACTATTTCTTAGTTGTGTTTTCCTGGTAGGTTAATATGATTTACTTACTTCTTACTTCATTTAAAGAAAAAATCCAATAGAACTCTGTCTTTATCAAATAAATTAGAAACCTGATTTCATAAACTTCAATATACCTACGGTTAAGATAGAATACATCTGATTCAACTAAAAACTTTAAATGTAACAGTAAGAGTGTAAGTGATATAACACAATAACTTGTTCTCATTTTAAAACTTAGAAATTAACCATTAGTCACTCTGAAATGTCAATAAATCAACTAGTATAAATTATTAACAGTCAATATTATGTCACAAACACAGTTACTGACTTACGTAATAACAAGCAAATGTAATTAAATATAATCTCTTCCAAAAATCTAAGCAGTATATCTGATTTAGTTAAGCATACATATCAGTCAGTAATGCTAGTCTACAATGTTAATTAATTACAATATATTATATTCATATACATAGTTTCTAGCAGAATAGCATGAATTCAATTTATTTCATTGGTTCACATCAGTTGCTTACAACTTAAGATATTCAAAACATGATTACGAAATGGATTTAAATTACTTAGATGAAAGAGTTTAGTTAAAAGTTATGTTGAAGATACATTTGCAAGGGTGTAAATAAATTTTATAGACTGAATATTATATATATATATATATATATATGTATTTACCTTATGTAAAAGAAAATTCTATAACATTGTTTGTGACAACAATTCAAACGGCCGGAAACAAGTGATTACATAATTAGTAAACCCTGATAGGAATAAAATGAGTAAAGCTAATCAAATGAGATTAATAATCTGGCCGAGTGGATAACGCGATGGCGTTTGAAGCGAGGGTACTGGCTTCGAGTCCCAGAGTAAACATCAACTGTGAGATGCATGTACATCCAGCTGACCAGTCCCAAATAGGACGAACCGCGCGTTCTGGATTCCACTTCTAGCCACTATCCATCTCTACTAACTATGCTTGTGAATTAAGGTATATCGAGGCAATACGCACAGTATGCACACATGCCAATGAGAGACTGACCAGTTGCAGTCCTAACAAATCGATGGGAAGATTCAAACAAACAATATTAAGTTGAATTTAATCTGTAAGATAGTTGAGAACCAATAAAATAAAATGAATTCACGCTATTCTGCTAAAATTTTTGTTCTTGCTCTTTTCAACATAATGTTTACTCATCAATTTCCGGTTGACTTAAAATGATTTTGAATATTTTTCAAACCTACTAATGCCTATTACCATTCGTGGAGGAGCATAGGCCGCTCACCAGCATTCTCCATCCAACACTGTCCTGGGCAATCATTGCAAGTTCATTCCAGTTAACATTGATCCTTTTCACATCTGCTTTTATTTACCGGCACAATGTGTTCTTTGGCCTTACTCTTTTCTGCTTCACTTCCGGATTCCATGTTAGGGATAGTCTCGTGATGCAGTTCGGTGATTTCCTCAATGTATGTCCGATCCATTTCAAACGTCTTTTCCTAATTTTCTCTACAGATGGAAGCTGATTTTTCCTCTCCCACAGAAGGCTGTTGCTAATAGTATCCGGCCAGTGAATATTGAGTATTTTGTGTAGACAATTGTTTATAAATACTTGTACCTTCTTGACGATGGCAGTAGTATTTCTCTACGTTTCATCTCCGTACAGCAGAACTAACTTTTTTGACGTTCGTATTGAAGATTCTCACTTTGAAATTAGTTGAGAGTTGTTTTGGGTTCCATATGTTCTTCAATTGCAGAAATGCTGCCATCATCTTTATTTGTTCATGTGTATGAGATAGGAGGGCTAGGTCATATTTGAAGTCCAAATCGTCTTATTGGTTTTGAGATGTCCATTGTATTTTGTGCTTCCCCTAAGATGTTGACGTCTTCATAATCCAGTCAATCACCAGAAGGAAGAGGATAGGGGAGAGTAGACAGCCTTGTCTAACTCTGGTCCCTATTGGAAATGCATCTGTCAGCCGCCCTCCATGCACGACGTGCACTGTAGTATATCGTATGAGTTCTGGATAATGTTGAAAATCTTCTGACTTTTCAAATTGGTTAAGTAAAAATTTATGTCTCTTTTATTTTCATCAATTTACTTTAACTCCTGTAAATTTTCTTTTCTTTTGAGATAATTGCAAATGACAAATGGATCTCAACAAACTGTTGTTATAGTTTAGTGATTTTATAACCACAACATTATTAATTAAGTTTATGCATATCTATTTCATGATGACATTTTTTCCTATTAGATTGATATCAACACGAATATGTGCCTTTAGATTATGTTTTGGCGTGTGTGTGTGTGTGGATCGTATATTTAAGATATCACTTGTTAAACATATGTTCCATCTCGCAGACTATTTGATCTGCCCTTAAAAACACCTAAAGATTATGTAGCACTTAAAAATTTTCAAAACAAACCAGAGTGTATCACAGTATACAATATTCATTATTTACTTACTGGTTGGAATTGTGTAAAGCTTTTGTCAACTATAATAAAAAGTGACTGATCAAGGTGCTTTATGTGTTACCGAATCCTGCTACTCTTTGTAGGAAAAAGGCCCAATCTAAAAGAACCACTGTACATAACCTATCTAAGAAGTTGCTTCCAATCTCTTCTAAATCATACTGATAAACTACTTGATCATGTTATAAATATTCCATTTATTCACGATAAAATGCAGTTCATGTCATTCAATGAAAAAAACACTGTTAGTCCTCATATAAAATGTTTGATTGAGAGCTCAGTATATAAATCTCTAGTTCATTACTGAGTTATACTTTGAGAAATAATCATAGATTTAAATGAGTTTCTAAAAAAAATAATGTTGACTCTTGTCAATAATAATGTCCAACCTATTAAATAGTACAAAACTCTACAATTAGAAATATCTGTAAAATCTGATTACTGATATTTTCAATGACTACAGTACCTAATCTACGTAATAGTGATTTTATGCTTTATAAGCAAAGATGAATAATAGCTTGCAGTTAAATCCAAATTGCGCGTTTCATCCCATTTGAGATGTACCTGCATCCCAGAGTTGATGTCTACCCCGGTACTCAAACCCACTACTGTAGCTAAGTAGATAACGAGGTGGCGTTTGAAGAGAACTGTACTTAGTTTAAGTTATGGGATGAATATCATCTTTGGAATGTACATACATCCAGATGACGAGTTTCAAATAAGAAGAAACACTCCTCCTGAATCCCATTGCTAACCATCATCCATCCTTGATTCTAGATTTTATGATTTAAAGCAATATCAAGGCAGTCCTCACAGGATGCACATATGCCAACAAGAGATTGATCAACTGCAGACCTTAACAACAACAAAGAATAAAAGTTAAATAGTTTAAGGTTTTAACTTAGTAGTCATTAGAACTACAAACAATAAATTTCTATATACATGTGTGTTTGAAACAAGCAAAACACATATACATTACTTGCTTTTAACACACTTCTTTTTTTTTATTAATTCATCAACAAATGTAAATTGTGCACATCTTTTCCTTCCCAAAAAAGTAATATACTACTGAATATGAAATACACATTTCCCCCATGTATTTTTCTTTTGCGCACAGTAAAACAGTTTTATTATGCTACTTTGTTTTGTTTTAATTAAGTACAACTTGATCAAGATTGAACATTGAAAAAATAAAGTTTTTTTCAAATTTTTATTGCTTCAAAACATTAATTGGTTTATTGTTAAATTGGTGGATTATTATTTATCCTAGTAAATTGACAATTCAATACTGTTACAAATGAATGATAATGTTAACATAGATTTATTACTGGGTTAGAATGTATACCGTATTTATCTAGTCAGAGACATTACAACTATTCGTTAATTTACCCAAATCACATGAATTGTAGTGATTAATTTTACAGAAAAACAATCTCACCTAATTATTATCCATGTGGTGTAGGTTACTTATATCTACATAAGTAGTATATAATGATGGTCAGAGATAAAATGTATGTCAGTTGAAGATCGATAAGAAGAGAACGCTAACTGAACGCAAGTGGTATAAAAATGCATGAATAATGAAATCTGAGACAATGGACTGATATTTGCAAAAGAAACAGTCTAGTTTAAGACAATGGATCGCAAATTAATTATTTACTATATGGTTCTCAGATTTCAGTGAGATATTCTGTAATTTTGTGCCAAATATGTTCGATTGTCCGTACTCATGTTCTTGTTCACTACATCCCTAGTCGATGGAATCACCATTGGAATATTTCTAAATCTCTGTTTCATAAATTACGTATAGAAGTTTCCAACATCACTGGCTCTATTGTTTAATCAGAAAGAATAATAATAATTAATAACTTGATTTCTATAGTTGAGATCATGAATCAATTAAAGCTAGATCAGCATGGAAAACCCGGAAGCACTGGACGGTCGTTTCGTTCTATTGTGGGACTTCTCAACAGTGCACATCCACGATCCCACCTCACGGGATCACTGAAGGCAATGGTGGACGGTGGCTAAATTTTGTGGATCGTTTGAAGTTAAACATTAACACCGTTGGATGCCGACTAAGTGGTCTATCGGTTCAAATCTCGCGAGGCAGGATCGTGGATTCAAACTGCTGAGGAGTCCCACAATAGGAAGGAATGGCCGATCAGTGCTTCCAGATTTTCCATGGTGGTCTAGCTTCAATTGGCTCATTATCTCAATTATATAAAATCTCCACGAAACCCCTTACTGATAATGTCTATTAATAATAACATAAAACAGCATCATAATTTCTATTCTAATGTATTTTTTAAATTTAATATCTTCATTACTTTCTTTTTATAATTTAGTGTTTGTTTCTATTTATTCATGAAAACCAAGTTTTTAATATACGATAGCAACATTAATATCACTATATAGGTAATAAATCAATAAAATAAGCCTTTACGTAATACCTGAAATTCTTTAAATTAGTAACCAGGGGAAACCTCCAATAATAATAATAATAATAATAATAAAATTATCCAATTTACCATATATGTTAAATAAGAGATTTTCGGTAATGATTGATTAATTACAAATTTGAAAGCAACGGAAGTTAGAAATAATGTAAAAGATAGTTGAAGTCGATTTTCTGGTCGTTCCGGTGGTACAGCAAATGTTGCAAATGATAATCCTGTGATAAAAAACTAAAATTTTCAAAGATAATAAGATATAGAAACAATTAATGATTAATTTAAATCAAATAGTGTATAAATAAATATATTGTAACTTAATAATTCAATTCATGAATCAATTAAAGCTAAACCACCATTGAAAACCTGGAAGCATTGGATGGCCGTTTTGTCCTATTGTGGGATTCCTCAGCAGTTCACACCCCCAATCAGTCTCGCGCGCGAATGCTTATCCTCTAGACCACCAAGCCGGCATCCAACGGTGTTAATATTTAACTTCAAACGATCCACAAAATTGAGCGACACATCGACCATTGTCTTCAATGAGTTACTATCTCACAACAAACCCAGTTGAACTCCACTGGTCACTGCTTCTCTCTAGAACTCCAAGAAATACCTCTTGAAGCCAGTCACCAGTGTGCATCTGATGATTGTAATCATAGAGCGGTTTTGTGGATATGAGAAAAAAATTAATTATGCAATCGCATTTAATTTTAGGATAATAATGAAACGTTAAATCTATGCATAATAATTTTTTTCAAAGAATATTTTTTTTATCTAACTGTCATACATGACAAGTTTGAACAAGACTTGAATAAAGCCAGAACAAAAGTCGAAGTAGAATAACATGAATTTATCTTATCTCGTGATGACTTGTCAGTTGTTATGCAATCATATTGATTACTAAATTATAACCTAATAATAAATAACCGATATACACAATTGAACTAATGGAAATGACAATTGTTACATACTTATATAGATATATAAGCATATGTAATACAACTAAGAAATAAAATCAATGTATGCTATTCTGTTTCGATTGTTTTTCCAGATTTCTTCGAATTCATTTTAGCTGTAAATAATTCCCCAAAATCAATAGCTTTTAAGTGTACAACATTGGATGCTGACCACATTAGTTTTATTGGACTTGTTTAACTGAATGCTTTCGGTGATGCATCCGCACCAGATCATGTTACAGCTCAGTGTGGGAAACCTGAGTGGGGGACGATTCGATTATAGAAGGTGTTACTAGTTAATAGTTGTCAAACTAGAATACTGGTGGTATCTTCATCAAGAAGGGAATTAAGCGTATGAAATTTGAACTAAACGTAAACAAATGTACTTAAATAGTATTATAAATAAGTTTGTCCTCTATAGGAATATTCGTTAATATTAAAACGAATAGTTTGACAGATATTCGGCGCCAAGTATTGAGAAGAAGACAATATATGTGAAAATTATATTTAAAATCATTTCAGTTATTGAAATTGTTATGTCTTGTTGTTAATTTGTTATGATTGATCGTCGTTGATTATGTCGGAATCCTTTATTACTTATACTTGTAAACGAGAAACTACTACAGTTCCTACGATATTAAAGTATGAACTCAGAAGACTAGTACAAGTGAAGATTTATTAAACCTAAAACACGACGACGATGACTAGTCGAAAATATACACATTTATATACTGATTGTACACCCAGTGGTAGAAGTAGTAAGAGTATAGGCAGTAATCTGAAAAATTAGGGTTTGAAGATGTTATTCATAGAGTAATATCCAGTGAAATAAATTTGGAAAGAGAAAAAAGATAGAGACATGAAGAATCCAGAAGATTAGAATTTGGCAAAACACAAAGAGTGGGTTCACCTTCGCTATTGCAAGCGATTTTGAGCCATGTCATTCAAGATCTCTAACCATCGATTGCTATCATCTCGCGAATCCCAACCAGGTAGTCTGTCATACAGAATAAAAGATGACACTAGAAAACAGGAACAAATACTATACTGTGTTATTATCACATTGAATTAAACAAACGGAGGGACTGTTGAACAAAAGTCATAATGAGTTAAAGAAACTAATTATTACTTTTCATCTTATCATATCAGAAATTGAAATAATTTCAACGTTTCGTCCTGCAGAGTTTTCTGGAAGTAGTTCGTGTTTATATAAAGTAAAAATTAAAGTAAAAGCGTGATTTGAAGGTTGAAATTGTTTCTGAATTGTCAATGTGAATGTAAAATAAGAACCATTAAATACATAAATATATTGCTAATATATCCCAGGTCAATTTCTGTCAGAATAACCATGTATATGAAATAGACAGGTTAGATAGAGACAGAGGCCAATTATTTGTTAATGAACATTGGCCATGGCAGGTAGTTAGGTGAATATCATCTTTTCTGTTCAGGTTGTTTTTATTAGCTCAAGTATACAGTGATTCTACTGTCAATCTATTTTTACGTGTGATAAACCCTTTCTGAAGTATTTTATCCCCCTCGAAATTGCTCTTGTGTCCTATTTCTAACACATGTGATGCTATCATCGACCTATTCTCAAGTTTTGTCACATCAACTGAGGTTTCAGGAGCATTATTCAAACATTGTCTGTGTCCTTTCAAACTCACATTCGATTATCTGGAAATTTACTTCCACAAAACTTTATGTATATGAATTATTTAATTCGAATTTGTTTATATTTCATAGTATTGGTGTATTATTTTTAACATTCATGTGAATATATTTGTAGCATTATTACACAATAGATGAAACTATATGAACTTAATAATTGATACACTTCGTTGACAACGATATACGCAAGGTATAGAGATATGAAACCTATCGAATGAAGTACAATTTGAGAGTGCTAGAAATGAATAAATAATTTCTCATAACACATTTTATCATGTAAATTCTGTCACTGTTACAGAGAAAGATGGGAGGTTAGGGGATTTTTCAAAGTTATTTGAGCAAGGTACATAATAGAGAGGTAAAGCAAAGGCAGCATTTTTACAATTGAAGAACATATGAAACTCAAAACAACTGTCAACTAATTTCAAAGTAAGAATCTTCAATACGAACGTCAAGACAGTTAGTTCTACTGTGCGGAGCTGAGAGGTGGAGAACGGCTACAACCATCGTCAAGAAGGTACAACTATTTATAAACAGTTGTCAACGCAAAATACTCAATATTCACTGGCCGGATACTATTAGCAACAGCCTTCTGTGGGAGAGGAAAAATCAGCTTCCATCTGTAGAGGAAATTAAGAAAAGACGTTTGAAATGAATCGGACATACATTGAGGAAATCACCGAACTGCATCACGAGACTATCCCTAACATGGAATCCGGAAGTGAAGCAGAAAAGAGTAAGGCCAGAGAACACATTACACCAGGAAATGGAAACAGATATGAAAAAGGTGAATAACAACTGGAAAAGAAGACCCAACAGAGTTGGATGGAAAATGTTGGTGTGCGGCCTGCGCTACTCCACGAGGAGTTGCAGGCGTAAGTAAGTAACATCAAAGAGAACAGCTGGGTTTTTTTCAAAATTTTTATATTCTGCAAGCAAATGAAAACATTTTGTGAAGTTCTCATTACAAACTCTTACAGTTAATTTCTAAATTGGGACTAATCTTAAAATTAAATGATGCAATCAAAATTTTCATCTACATTATTAGGTCCTCATTAAAATTCGATATTTCTTATCCAGTTATAACTCTTTTGTTGAAGGTAACGCTTTTGGCAAATTGATTAAAACTGAAATTTTTTGTGAAGGAAATATATTAAAATACTAATAGTCTTCAGCGAGTAATTGATAACTCTGAAATTAAGTCATCTAATATATGGGTACATTTTAAGCAAAGATGGATATTGTCTAGCAGTGGAATCCAGGACGCGCTTTTCGTCCTATTTTGGACTCGTCAGCTGGATGTACCTGCATCACAGAGTTGATGTTCACTCAGTAGCTGAGTGGATAACGCGATGGCTTTTGAAGCGAAAAGTACTGGGTTCGAGTCCCAGAGTGAACATCAACTGTGAGATGCAGGTACATCCAATTGACTAGCCTGACGTTGGACGAAACGTACGTCCTGGATTCCACTGCTAGCCATTATCCATCCTTGCTCATAATGCTTGTGAATTAAAGCTATATCGAAGCAATACGCCCAGTATGCACATATGCCAATGAGAGACTGACCAGTTTCAGTCCTAACACATCGATGGGAAGATTCGAATAAACATTACTAAGTGAATTTATGGGTACATTTATTTTGTGTTAACAAATGCATTTACTAAGCTTTTTCCGAATGACTCAAAAAAGCAATCACCTAACCTTTGAAAATACTACTTCTACTATTAGACACTAGGGAAAATGAAATCATTACTGTATAGTAAAATGTCTTTATATCCAAACATATTTTGATCTAAAAAAAGAAGCAAACAAACAAACAACGTGGGATGCGATGAAATACATTAACTGGTTGTCGCTGGACTGAAACTTTACACAGTTTGTCTATTCAAACTTATTGGTTTACTCCATTGGAAATGTTAAATAAATCATTGATAGACTTTACAGTTTTCTTTTTCTATAACACACTGTAGCTGTTTACTGTCTCATATATTTACAGAATATGAAATATGTCGAAAAAAAGACCATCTGTTACCTGTATTCTTAACATTATTGTTTACATAGGAAAATAAATATTCTTTGAAGAAAAATAAACGTTATTATTACAAATAAACCAAAGAACCAGTGTTCTGATAAATCGATTTAATGTATTCTGCTTATTCATTATTTTTTTTATGTATATATAGAAATATTAAAACTCCTCGTGTAGCTCCTCCGAAGGCTACTGCCGGTCTAAAGCTCGGGTAAATGAAAAGGGTTGGGCATGCAGTTAGCGACCTAATCCTATAGAAAACTAACTTGCTAAAAAAAACGTTAACCAGAAAAAATAATTCAAAATGGTTCAAATGGTTGAGGACGGAATAGAAGAAGCTTTCGCTTAATGGGCTTCCGTGTCTGATAGCAGTGGATCACCAATACCTCCACGCAAAAACCTAGGTATATGAACGATAATAGAGGAAAAAAAGAATTTGGTAAATCATAATAATATGTTATCCTTAGTCCTTAAGAATAAGTCAAGTTTCCTCTTAAAGGACTCCTGGGAGGTCGCTTGGATTAGCTCAGTCGGCAGCGAATTCCAGCACTCAACAACTCCAACGGAGTAGAAGTTGTGTCTGCAGTCTGTTCTGCTATGTAGGGTCTCCAATTTCTGGGTGTTACCTCTCAGGTTAGTGTTATGACTAAGCTTAAGAAGTTGTTTAAGGGGATGACCAGAAGTATTAAGGATACTATAAGTCATAAGAAGGTCACCTCTAAGACGCCTATACTCTAACGGGTAAAGGTTAAGTGATTTGAGGCGCTCTTCATAAGGTTTCAATTTGAGACCCCAAACTGATTTCGTGGCTCGACGTTGTATACGTTCCAGAGTGTCCTTATCCTTTTGGAGGGAGGGAGGAAATACTATGTTTCCGTACTCTAAGTGGGGACGAATAAAACTGTTGAAGATTATATGGAAGGTTCTACCGTCAAACTGGCCAAAAATGCGCTTCAATGTTACCAGTGCAAGGTTTGCTTGAGAGGCGTTTTTGTCACAGTTCGCATACGATTTCAGGTCATAGGGTACCAACACTCCTAAATCTTTTTCAACTTGGGAAACTTCTAGAGGTGAGTTACCTAAGTTATAAATATAGTCTGCAACTTGTCTCAGATGGACTACCTTGCACTTTGAAGTGTTGAAGGTAAGTCCGTTGTCGTCTGCCCAACTTTGAAGTCGAGTCAGATCCTCCTGAAGAACTAGTATATCATTGTGAGTACGTATCTCTCTCCAAAGTTTCACATCATCAGCAAAAAGCAATAAATCAGATGAAACTTGTTGAGGAAGATCATTAATATAAATCAAGAAGAGAAGAGGTCCTAGTATTGAAACCTGGGGGACCCCACTAGGACATTCCATAGCCTAAGAGAGAGTGAAGTTAACCCTGACCTTAAAATGTCGGTTTTCTAGGTATGAAGTGATCCAGTAAATTAAAGGGGGTTTTATACCCAATCGTCCAAGCTTCTTGATAAGACATGCATGGTTGACCCTATCAAAAGCTTTTGAGAAGTCCAGGTAGATGACGTCAACCTTCCCCTTGCGATCAAGGATGGTTGTCCATTTATCCACCGCAGTCAGCAGGTTGGTCGTACAAGAATGACCTTTTCTGAAACCATGCTGTTGAGGCGAGAAGAACTTTGAGGATGATAAGTGTTCTAGTATGCCGTCGAATACTAGGGATTCCATAATTTTTGAAGGTATGAAGAGAAGGGCCACTGGTCGGTAGCTTGAGGGTTCAAACCATATAAATATTAAACGATTGCTTACCTCAACAAATTCACTTGTCTTTTTAGAAATTCTTTTTAAGTTACAAGTTCTAATCAACTTGATCTCAAAGCCCCCATAAAACACTCTACTTAACTTATAAAATATTTTATTATTGGTTTAATCAAAAACTGTATAATTGATTTTCATGTTAGATTGTTTGAATAAACTATCAGGAATTTCTGAACCTTGTTTTCTTGTTAGTTAGTTAGTTAGTTAGCATTTATCAGTACGTCCTAACTGAAATTTTTAAGAGGATTGATACTTCCACTAGGATTCAAGTTATATGTTATCAATTGTCAAAGGATATGATTTTACCGTTAACCTATTTATGTGATGATTTCATATCACAAAGACTTTATCGTACAATAATTCTTGACCGATAGAATTTGTCCAGCGTAGAGGATTAAACGTATACTATACTGGTTAGCATTTAATGATAAATCAGTATAGAAAATATGAGTTATCTTTGAAGTGAACGGATCACATAGACATATGAACAAATAAGTTTATACGTCAAATGAAATTGTGGGATCGATGATTAGAACATAAATGGTTAACATGGAATGAATAAGAGAGAGAGAATAATGTAATTGCAAATTAGAAACCACGTAATATGTAATATAATATGAATTAGGTGCAAATTAGTATATAGGGAGGGCAGCATTTCTACAATTGAAGAACATATGAAACTCAAAACAACTGTCAACTAATTTCAAAGTAAGAATCTTCAATACGAACGTCAAGACAGTTAGTTCTACTGTGCGGAGCTGAGAGGTGGAGAACGGCTACAACCATCGTCAAGAAGGTACAACTATTTATAAACAGTTGTCTACACAAAATATTCAACATTCACTGACCAGATACTATCAGCAACAGCCTTCTGTGGGAGAGGAAAAATCAGCTTCCAGCTATAGAGGAAATTAAGTGAAGACGTTGGAATTGGATCGGATATTCATTAAGGAAATCATCAATGTGCATTACAAGGAAATCCCTAACTTGGTATCCGGAAGTGAAGCAGAAAAGAGGAAGGCCAGAGAACACATTACACCGGGAAATAGAAACAGATATGAAAAGGGTTAATAACAACTGGAAAAGAAGGCCCAGGACAGAGTTGGATGGAAAATGTTGGTGTGCGGCCTATGCTCTTCCATGAGGGGTAACAGGCATAAGTAAGTCAGTAAGTAGTATATAGGGGTGGATGGTGAATAAATTTTTTCAAATCGTTTAGAAATATTATAATAATCAAGGTATTTCGCTTTAAAACTGGGAACTTTTCGGATCAGTATTACAGATATGTAATTGTAGAACTTGAATAGAATTTCTAGAAAAAATTCATTCATTTATGTGTACTTTTTATGAAAATTATTATGGAAATTTTACAGAGTCAAATGTTGTAATGAGAACTGCTGACGAGTCGCACAATAGAATGAAACGGCCGTCCAGTTCTATCTGCTTTTCCATGGTGATCTAGATTCAATCGACTCATGATTTCAACTATGTAAAATTACTAAAATCTCCACAAAACCCCCTTCTCAAAATATGTTAATGTCACCGTTTTCTCGCTGGAAGTGTATAGGACACACATTTAGGAAATCACCCAACTGCGTCACAAGACAAGCTTTTACATGGAATCCTGAAAGCCAAAGGAGAGGAGGAAGACCAAAGAATACATTACGCCGAAAAATGGAGACAGACATGGGAAGAATAAACAAAAGTTGGATAGAACTAGAAAGGAATGTCCATTACAGAGTGAGTGGGTTGGAGAATGCTGGTCGGCTTCCGATGCTCCATTGGGGGTAACAGGCGTAAGTAATTGGGTAAGTAAGTAAAGTTTTTGCCTTTTTTTTGGATCACCTAAGTTCTTCTATCCATCTATTATGCATAATTTATTTATCGTTTTAATAATAATAATAATAACGATGTTACCTTATGATCGTATACTTATCGTCAGATAATATTTAGTATTACAGTTTGTTTTTTCCTTATCACATGTAACTCGGATTCTTTTACTGAATATATATTACCAATACTAATTTTTAACATCATTATAAAGAGATCTTATTAAACTTTCAAACATAATGGATAATCAAATCAAATAACATATGAAGAAGAGTACTTCTTTAAAGTGAACCTTTCAATCAGAGCTTAATGAATGATTTTTTCTAATCACCATTACATTTTAATGTGTATCCAATATGGAGATTACTCATCTTGGTAGCTCTTAAATCAGAAAAAAAATAACTTATTGAGATGGTTGAGATGGTAGAAGATTTCTACCCTAAGTTTGTGCTGATGATGTCGTTCAGAAGGACGATGAAAGCTTCACGACCAAACCATCCAGCTCAGAAAACAAACTTACATCAAAATAACTTATTGAATTAAAATATAAAATCTGCAAGTTACAATAATTTAGGATAACAAGACAAATATACATATACACACCAGAGTCATACCATAATTAGGAAGACATTCCAGTAGAAATAACCAGGCCTACGTGCTGCTCTACACGTAACAGAAATACAAGGATGACTTTGACTAGAATTCGTATATTCTTGAGTAGCTGAACGTCTTGTTACTTCAATATGTTCATGGAGTCGCCATTCCTAAAATTGAATATTAATTAAATTAGTGTTTAAAATTATGGTCTAGTATTTTTAGAAGCTTGGTATTCAGGTCAATCATCAATAAACAAGTACATTGAAACCGATTCAATATATCAAGTAATCAAAACATTCAGTGGTAGATATGAGATTAAGAATCAAATCTAAGAGAAATACGATCGAAATAATGAGGTAGACGATAGCAGTTTAAAGGTAAATAATAACTGACCAACATCGAGGTCAACAGAATATGTAGGTATGTAGGTATTCGAACAATCCAATTCGCGACCAAACAATCCAGTTAATGGAACAACACTCCACCTAAATCATTCATTGACCTACAAATCTTCTCCACCATCTCAACGCTTCTTTTAAATTGTTGAACAACAGCTCATATTTCAAAATGTGGTAACTGTTTTGGTTTGGTTTTACACAGCACAGGAATGAGTACAAGCTAAATTTTGTCTATGTTAAGCAATCAGAGAACTCTAAGTGTTTTATGTTAGATTCCAAAGTCAATGTGTTCTATCAACTGGAGCTATTAAAAAAATATCATCCGTAATTTGAAGTCCTTTCTATTACTCATCAACTTGCCAATTAGTAAACGAATGTAAGACATTCTATTTAATTTGTTATTCTTTACTAAAAATTCATCATCATCTCAAAGCAATCGGTATAAATTATCGTAAATTCCATATCATACTAACTTTAACAGATGCCTTTAGCTTTCGGCAAGAAGTCCTGTTTACGTCCACCTGGGATTTTCCATCGACTTCATCAAAGTCTTTTGAAGATGTTTTTTTACTATTGTAGCTGTTTGCAATCGTCTACTGTATTGGCAAATAAGTAGTATATTTTATTTTACAAAAAATGTGCAACCTAATGATTTCTCAACTCAATTGTAAATGTAAAGATTAAAGGCTTTTCCATATTTTACCTGCTGATCTACAAGTGTTTGTAGGTTTATTCTGCAGGGTTCATATTTATCGGGTATAAGTTCAACCTCCGATTCTGGTCTTTCGGATGTCAGAGTTATGGTCAAATCCTACAATGTAAAAAAATCAAGAGATTTTACTTTAAATTATATCTTCGAATCGCTGAGTTAAATGTTAAAGTCCAAAACAAATGGAAATTCCATCCATCAAATACTATACGGAGATTCATCTGCATAGACGTGTATCACTGTTATTTCTTGATGTGTTCAGTTAATACTTATGATCATGATCTGTAATATATTGGAAGAAAACATTTATATCATAGTCAATACTTTACGATGAAAAGTGGCTGTATTATTTACGTCTAGTTATAATACAGGAATATCGTTGGTGTATGTCACTCCAATGACTTGCGATCCATTTATTGAAATAAAATGACACTGACACACTGACTTATCAGTTCATTGAGACTAGTATGTAATATGCTACTCAAATAATTTAATTCACGTCAATTTTTTCATAAAAAGATGAATTTTGTGAACGTCTTTAGATATTTTGAGGGTGATCTTAATTATTACATGCCATAAGCATATGAATCATCCAAAACACGAAGTTCAGTGAAGGAATCTCTTTTCAAAAATCGTATACATGTATAAAAGTTCTGTTAACGTATTAGTTCTGTGTTGACGTATGAACAAGGAATAAACATGATGATGTAACAGGAAGATAATAATGCTGAATAACATAATGTGAATAATAACAATTAAAGGTTAAGTGTGTGCAAATAGAAAGCCTTTTAAAACCAATTAGTTAAAAACGTATCATAATATGAATGAAGGAAGATGAATAAAATATTTTTTCAGTTTAGGGTTGTGTCAATTATTGAATTTCATTGAAATCATGAACGGACCACTGTTAGACTATCATTGAAAACCTGGAGGCTGTGGATGGCCGTTTCATTCTAGTATGGGAGTCCTAAACAGTGTGTACTAGTGATCCCACATAAGGGATCCGAAACCATCCCACTGCCACCGATGGAGTTGAACAGTGTCGGATGTGAGGCGAATACCCACCGAAGACGACGGAAGATGACCGCTCGACATCATGGATCAGTTGAAATTAGACATTACCACTGTTAGATACCGGTTCAATGGTCTTGAGATTAAGGGCTTGCGCTCGAGATCGAAGGTGATGGATTCGAATCTCACGTGCGGGATCGCAGACTCTCACTACTGTGGAGTCCCGCACTGGAACGAAACATCTGTCCAGTGCTTCCAGGTTGTCAACGGTGGTTAGAAATTGATCGGTTCATGATTTCAATAAAATATCTTTGTTACAATAATCAAAGGTAATATAGGGGTAAAATGAAATGAGATGATATCAGAAAGAAGTTTGCATAAAATCATGGAAATGAGAGGAATAATTAAAGAGAGAGGGGGATATTTTCAAATATGAAACATAATAATAATAGTTTACGTCCAAGGTAACGGTTAGGATAACATTAACTTACTTTGTATGCACAACCCTGGCTTCAACTCATGGATGGCAAGAGCTTTTGCCGTTTTAATCATTTACATACGAAGAAATCTAGGTAGATTCGGACGAAATGTATATTCAAATTTAAATCAACTAGTGGACCAGTGAAAAATCATTAAAAAAAATAGAAGGATAGCCTAAATATTTCTTCTGTTCGCGTTTGTGTTGGAATCCAATTGTCTATATATTCCACTTTAGTCAATATGTAATACATCATTTTACTTCAAGAGTAAAGTAAGTCATTGGTCAAAACTGTATATCGAGTTTATAAAATGATCAAAGTAATAGACTTTTCATTAAATTAGGTCCATAAAGTTGGTAAATACAAGTCACGAAAAAAGAGTTAAAGATAATGACAATAACTATAACTTTTTCTGGAAAATAAATCTTTTAGGAATTCTTTCAAAAACGTTACTCTTACTGTAGTGAACAGAACGCCGGTTGGGGATAATCAAATGTGTTTAAGCACAATTTACAGTTTTTCACACTAATTTCTGCTAACTATACAATGAACAGTTAATTTGCAAACTATTAGTGAATTGTCTCAATCTTCACTGTTCCTTCTGTAAATATCAGTTCATCTTCTCTAATTCCATTGTTCATTTATTTTCGTACCGATTGCGCTTCATTCCTATTTTTCCCTTATCGGTCTTCTGCCAAAATACATTCTATGTCTGACCATCGTCATATACTGTTTATATAGATATAATTATACCACACTACAATACAATAAAGCACTTAAATAATTAAACTGTGAATTCCCTCTCTTTACTTTATCGAAGTGTGCCCAGAGATCCATTTAATGTTTTCATGTCAATATCGTAATAAACTGTTTCTAAAAAAGGTTGAATGGAGAGTGCTGGTAGATGGCTTGTTCTCTTCCACTTGGGGGTAACAGGATTAGGCAAGTAAGTAGGTATGTCTTACATAGTTGGCAGAAGCACTGAACTATTCAAATAACTGAATATGACCTTACTGTTTAATTTGTTTTCTTCACTATCGTTGCTAAAAAATTTTGTTATTTTGATGAAAAGTCAAAAAAAAACGTTTGGTTAACTATTTAGAAAATCAGCATGAAATCAATCATCTGTCAACTATGAACCGAAATTTCCCACGGATTTTCTTCCTTTCAAAATTCACTAATCTGTCACCAATGAATAACTGGGATTTATTCATCCTAAAATAGTACGTAAGTATATTGATTTTAAAGTAGGTTTGACATTCCTTGTGTATTTGTCAATCACTTAATTACTAGGGATGGATAATGAGATGAAATATACATACGATTGACCTAAGAATATATTACCAATGCAAATAATATGAATATATATGGTTCCCTAACAAAAAGTATACTTAAATTCATTTAGTATTATTTGTTTGAATCTTCTCATTGATGTGTTAGGACTGAAACTGGTCAGTCTCTCATTGGCATATGTGCATACTGGGCGTATTGCTTCGATATAGCTTTAATTCACAAGCATTATGAGCAAGGATGGATAATGGCTAGCAGTGGAATCCAGGACGTACGTTTCGTCCAACGTCAGGCTAGTCAATTGGATGTACCTGCATCTCACAGTTGATGTTCACTCTGGGACTCGAACCCAGTACTTTTCGCTTCAAAAGCCATCGCGTTAACCACTCAGCTACTGACTCCTTACTTGTTACCAATAATAAAAACTCGTTTTATAGTTAGATGTAAAATATCTTTTGTTAAATTTCTTTATACTGACAACTATCAGGTACAAATAATTAATGTGGATAACGTGTTAAGGATTTAGAATGAAATTTACTGATTTTGATCTACAGGGTTAGCATAAATGCAGGGATGTGGATAAATGCAGCTGACAAGTCTCAAATAAGAAAAAGAGATTGTCCTGGAATCTGCTGCTAGCCGCTATCCAACTTCGTTTGAAAACGCCTATGAGCTAGTAACAATATCGAAGCGACTATGACATGTTCTGTAAATGGCTAAAGAGACTGATTAATTACAGTTCCTTACATCAACAACGGGGAGATTCAAACAATTACAAATAAATCATGTATGCAACATTCTGTGATGTTGACCAAAATGTTCAACAGTTAGAGTTAGATCATAAATAAAAATAGAATATACAACAAACCATAACATATATCTGTTAAAAATAGTTTAAAAGCTATTCCTATATATGAATGCCGGTTCAGTCATCTGAAAATTAAGCTCTGCAGCGCAAGACCGATGGTCCTCGGTTCTATATTCGATGAGATGGTAGATTAGCGCTGTTGGCCAGTTTCATACTAGGATAAAACAGCTGTCCTGTGCATTCTGATTTTCGATAGTTTTTTAACTAAGATCAGTGTATTGTGTAATCTGGGAAAATTCAACAACCTCAACAAATTTTCGACAGTAACAATTTCTTCAACTATTTTAAATGTATATTTAAAAACTCTTGTCCATGCAATGTGAACAACAACAGTTTATAACAACAGTAATAAACAGTTCACTTGGTATTGTTTGGTTGAATCTCTCCATTGATGTTTAGGACTGCAATGGACCAGTATCTTATTGGCCTTATATGCGTGCTGTGCGTATTGCCTTGATATAGCTTTAATTCACAAGCATTCTAAGCACAGATAAATAGTGACTAAGACGAAACACGCATCCTGAATTCCACTGCTAGCCATTATCTATCTTTGCTTAGTAATAAACAGTGTTTATATTGATGGTAAGTCTGTAGTGTCAGTTGCTATGTTAAATCCGCATTAGCTTATCCTAACTTCCAGCCAAGCCAATTTACATATCCTTTTTGAGTCACATTCTGACATTGTTAATTATTCACTTATCACTTTTGAATGAGAGTATGTGGATGAATCTCTTAACCTATTCATCACGTCTGTAACTTATTTTTAAAAAATATCGATTAGCTCTCGATTAAACTGAGTTGGCTCACACACCTCCACTACGTGTCATTTCGCTTCGCTCTCTTCTCTTCGTTTCGTTTCCTTGTCCGTTTGTCTGGACCAACGATTGTATGAAATATATGTATTCGAAACTCATTCTCGTATTTGACTTATTTAGTCCTGTTATTTACCAACGTCAATTAAATCGACTATTATATACGTGGATTGGCGACATATATATTTCTATCACAACCAGAAACGATCCAAATAGAGTCACATATAGGTCTATTAAAAGTCAATGTTTGCTAAGAATAACATTTTAAAAAATGTAACTGTTCGCATTTCAATACTTACAATTTCTTTTATTAGTAATATCTACATTAAATGTACTAGAAATTATTATTTAATATAGACCAATTATACACTATCAGCAACAAGCTACTGTGGGAGACAACAAACCAGATTCCAATGGAGGAAGAAATCAGGAAGAACCACTGGAAGTGGATGGGACACACATTGAGGAAATCACCCAACTGCGTCACAAGACAAACCCTCACATGGAATCCTGAAGGCCAAAGGAGGAGAGGAAAACCAAAGAACACAGTACTTGGAGAAATGGAGACAGACATGAGAAGAATGAACAAAAATTGGATACAACTAGAAAGGAAGGCCGAGGACAGGTTGAGTGGGTTGGAGAATGCCGGTCGACAGTCTATTCTCCATCGGGGCTGACAGACGTAAGTAAGCAAGTAACCATAGACCAATTTTAAAAATGATAAATCATAGTTCAAGGTTATTTCTTGTCCCAAATATTTGATTGTTTATCACTTAGCAAAGTGAGATTTGTATGTATTTATGTGAATATATATAAGTAATGGAAATGTTAAATACAATTATTTTATAAATTTACAACAGGTTTACTTTATTTAGTACTGAAAAATATGGTCATCTTATATAAGAACTTTCGTATAAATTAGAGCGAATAGTTTCACAGTATTTGATGTAAGACATTAAATAGGAATAATATAAATTCACTTAGTATTGTTTGTTTGAATCTTCCCATCGATTTGTTAGGACTGCAACTGGTCAGTCTCTCATTGGCATATGTGCATACTGGGCGTATTGCTTCGATATAGCCTTAATTCACAAGCATTATAAGCAAAGATGGATAGTGGCTAGTAGTGGAATCCAGGACGCGCGTTTCGTCCTATTTGGGACTGGTCAGCTGGATGTACCTGCATCTCAGAGTTAATGTTCACTCTGGGACTCAAACACAGTGGATAACGCGATGGCGTTTGAAGCGAGGGTACTGGTTTCGAGTCCCAGAGTGAACATCAACTCTGTGATGCAGGTACATCCAGATGAATAGTCCCAAATAGGACGAAACGCGCGTCCTGGATTCCACTACTAGCCACTATCCATCTCTGCTAGGAATAATATATTTGTAAAATCGCAGCGAATGAATTTGTAGTAAACCTAACGTTTCTCCTGGCAATCTGATCCAAGCTTTTTCAAGGAATTATAATCAAACATCAAAATTATCGTTCTCGTGTGGACCTGTTGCAGGACGTCAACTGCTAATATGCTAGTGAATTAACCACCGAAATCGTACAAAGTACGACCTTGGTGTTTCAAAGCGTACACAACATCCATAGCTGTCACTGTCTTCTTCTTGACATGTTCCGTGTAGGTGACTGCATCGCGGATCACGTTCTCCAGAAACACCTTTAGTACACCACGAGTCCCCTCGTAGATCAATCCTGAAATGCGCTTCACACCACCACCACCAGCCAGACGACGGAATTCAGGCTTTTTAAAACCCTGGATGTTGTCATGTAAGATCCTTCGATGTCTCTTAGCTCCTTCTTTACCCAAACCCTTACCACCTTTACCACGACCAGTTATAATTCATAACGATAGATAAACTGACTTGCATACCGATACGAGACGGATAATTTTGATGTTTGATTATAATTCCTTGAAAACGCTTGGACAAGATTGCCATGCGAAACGTTGGATTTGCTTCAAATTCATTCGCTGAGATTTTACAAATATGTTATTCCTATTTAATATGGTTATTTTATTCTGTTGAATCAGGCAGAGATTTACAAAACACCGATTAGTGTTATTTATCTTATGTTATAGTATTACCACAATCCTTGGTAAACATCAAGTAGTATGAGATTAAACTAATAAATCATGTTTTGTAACCAGATCAGAAAATAAGACGGATTAAGTTCCATTTATTATGTGAATTCTTGTTGTCAATCCTCTATTGATTAATTAAGTTACTATGGCCAATAATAAAGGATGAAACAAGAATATAATTCTGGACAAAAGTATTTTATAGAAACGAATAAGTGAAATGGTTTGTTAACACTGTAAAATAGAGGATAGGAGTAAACTTTATATTTTAACCTATCGATGGTGATTTGGAATCTATGGATTAGTGGATCACACTTTAGATACTGGATTCAAATCTCATTGTAAACATAAACACTTGGATATGGATAAATCCAGTTGTTGATTTACAATAAGACAAAATGAGGGTCCCAGATTCCAGTGTTAGCTTTAATCCGAAATTATATGGAACTATTTTAATTTTATTAAGAGCCTTCAAACATTTTGAAATAGTGTGTTTTTGAGTGTTTAATCAGCAGAAAGATATTATAGATCAGAATGGGGTTTTTTGTGGAGATTTCAGTATTTTCATAGTTGAAATCATGAGTCAATTGAAGCTAGACCACCATGGAAAACCTGGAAAACGACCGTCCAGTGCTTCCAGGTTTTCCATGGTGGTCTAGCTTTAATTGATTCATTTCAACTATGAAGAAAGATATTAATTTGAGATCTCAGTTCTTAGGAGATCAGGAGTTACAGTGATTTTACACGCTCAATAAAATAATAAACGACATCAAGCTATAATCTAGTGAAAAATGATAAGTATATATATACGTCAATGAAACCAACACAGACACGCATTCATATTTTGCTAACAACAATATACAGATTTGAACAAGCAAGCCAAGTCGATAAACAGAGTTCACCAAAGTTTCATCTGAAATGCGAATGAAAACTTTAACCTGAGGTTAAACATACCAGGTTTTTACTAGATTGTTATCAAACTACCACAAGTTATGTAACTGAAAAAAGGCAGTCCTTGTTTCTTATACAAATGCTTGTTAGTGAAACTTTTATTATTCTCATTGTTTACTGGCTTATATTAAGTCATACAAAAAAATTTCACACTGAAAATTCTACTCCAACTGTTTTATCACATAATATACTTATTAAGGGATATAATTTACAGGTGGCCTGATTGAATATCTAGATTACCTGTTCCTGCCATCTAGATATTTCAACAAGTTATCTGTTTCCTTGTTTGTTTTAACAGATCATTAGATCAATTAAATTGCACAACCAATTCAGGTGTATTTCTGAAAAGTTCACGACCTTTCACTGTACAAGTTAGGAAACAGTAAAATCAGAGACATTGTGGTTGCTAGCCATATACATAAAAAAGAACGTACATTATTCAAATGTCGATTCCTATACTGATAACATTTAACTGGTAACCACTAAATATTTCTTGCAAAAATCGATCAAGAAATAGGAAATGGAAACTTCTTGAAATGTCTAAGACTGAATAACATAATCATTTGAAGGGGTTTTGTGGAGATTTAGTATTTTTCATAGTTGAAAGCGTGAGCCAATTGAAGCTAGACCACCAGGGAAAACCTGGAAACATTAGACGGCCGTTTCGTCCTATTATGGAACTCCTCAGCAGTGCGCATCCACGAACCCGCTCTCGCGAGCGAGATTCGAACTCAGCACCTACCAGTCTCGAGCCGAAGCCCTTAGCCGATAGACCACTGAGCTGGCATCCAACGATGTTAATGTCTAACTTCAACCAATCCACGAAATTGAGCAACCATTCACCAATTGTCTTCAGTGAGTTCCTATCTCACAACAGACGTGGTTTTGAACTCCACTGGTCATTACTTCTCACTAAAGCTCCTAGATATATTTCTCGAATCTCGCTCGCGAGAGCGGGTTCGTGGATGCGCGCTGCTGAGGAGTCCCACAATAGGACGAAACGGCCGTCCAGTGTTTCCAGGTTTTCGATGGTGGTCTAGCTTCAATTGACTCACGCTTTCAACTATGATAATCATTTGAGAAAACAGATTTTATAAATCCATTCTAGATATTTCTATACTCTCTTACTGATATCGTTCATTTTCCCAAAATATATTTGCTTCTACTTCATCCAGCTCCGTTAATATGCATCTCAGTTGTTCCAGCTGGTTCTACTCAATTATTTAACGTTGTTGTGAACAAAACACCAGTTGGGGATAATCGAATGTAACTAGGCACAAATTACAGACTATCTCACTAAATTTTGATAACCATACAGCAAACAGTTAATTTGCAAAATGTTCCTTCTGTAAATATCAGTTCATCTTCTCTAATTCCATTGTTCATGCATTTTCCTACCAATCGCGCTTCATTACGGTTCTTTCCTTATCGATCTTCTGCCGAAATACATTCTATGTCTGACCATCGTTATATACTACTTATATGGATATAAGTAGACCACACTACAACGTAACTTCATATATCATGAAACAACTATAATTAAGAGTATTATACTTTACATTTTAATATATCTAATTGGAATTTGATTATATTACGAATATATTAGATTGACTCAAAATGGCTATTAATATTATGAATTAAAGTTAACTCACTTGAACATCCAATGGAAAATCATTTAATTCTAATGTCTCCAAAAACACCCCTCTCAAACGACGACGTTCAACAATGAAAATTTCATCATTTTCATTTCTTTCTGTTATGATCCAATGTTGTTCTTTAGACTCACTTAGTATATTATCAATAAGTATTAGAGGATTCCAACAGCGTTGTAAATCTATTTTACGAAGACACTGAAACATAAAGTTTGTATTGAACAATGCATTTGTAAATTTACTTAGTAATGTTTGTTTGAATTTTCCTAATGATGTTTAGAACTGCAACTCGTCAGTCTCTCATTGGCATATGTGCATACTGTGCGTATTGCCTCGATATTGCCTTGATTCACAAGCATTATAAGCAAAGATGGATAACGAGATGGTGTTTGAAGCGAGGGTACTGGGTTCGACTCCCAGAGCGAACATCAACTCTGAGATGCCTGTATATTCAGCTGACGAGTGAAAATTAGGACGAAATGCGCATCCTGGATTCCACTGCTAGCCACTATCCATCTTTGCTTACAATGTATTTGTAAGATAAAATTTTTGATTTTTACCGTTCAATGGTGTATATTGTGTTTTTTAGGTTTTAAACACGGTTATATAAATATATTTCCCATAAATAGTTGTTCAGTATTGTACAGTACAAGTTAACGTAACAAAAATAGTGGATCAATAATTATAATGCATTGTGCCAGTTAGATGAATTTGCCGAATTGTTTAACCTTAATGATTTACTTTAATTTGATCAATAGGAAATTATCATTAAACTATGAAAATAAACTACCGATCCTACTTATAACAATTTGAACGAAATTATTTACTTTTTTCGTTCCAGTCGTTAGCTGATAGGTGACTTTTTTGATAGAGTTTTGTTCTCCGAGCTCGATGGTTTGGTCGTGGAGCTTTCATTCTCCTTCAGAACATCGTCGGCACAAACACTTCACTTCTACCCGAAGTTTGTGCTGATGATGTCGTTCAGAAGGACGATAAAATCTCCACGAACAAACCATCCAGCTCAGAGAACAAAACTCCATCAAAATCATCCACCAGAGCTACAAATCTTCTCCATCATCTCAGGTGTCTTTTTTGCATAACAACTTACAAACTTTATTACACTTGTTATCCCTCGTGGAAGAGAATACGCTACCCACCAAAATTCTCCATCCAATTTTGTCGTGGATAATCCTTTGTAGTTGTTTCCAAGCGCTATTCATCCTTTTCATATCTGTTTACAATTCCCGACGTAGTGCGCTATTCAGCCTTCCACTTTTTTGTTTTCGTTTACGATTCCACGTTAGCGATTACCTCGTGATATAGTTTGATGATTTCCCTGGTATACGTTCTATCTAATCCCATCGTCATTTCTTAATTTCTTCCTTAGATGGAAGCTGATTTTTCCTCTCCCACAGTAGTCTGTTGTTGATGGCATCTGCTCAAGGGACATTAAGTATCTTACGTAGACAATTGCCCACAAATACTTGTACCAGTTTGATGATGGTTGTAGTAGTTCTCCAAGTATTGGCTCCGTGTGATAGAACTAACTGGCATAATGTTTGTATTGAAAATTATGAATTTGATGTTATCTTTCAGACAGTTGTTCTGAGTTAGAGATCTTCTTGAACTGTTGAGCTTAGTGACTCTGCTTTGTCTATCCTTGCTTTTCCGTCTACACAAGATCCTCCTTGTTTATTGTTGATACTGTCCAGGTACTTGAAAGTTTCCACCTGATCAAGAGCTTCTCCGTCAAATGTGTTTGAATAGTTTTCTGTGTGTTGTATTTGAGGGTGTTGCTTTTTCCATTATAAATGTTGAGGCACTCAGATGCAGAGGCCTCTACTACACTATTTGTCGTGACCTGCATTTGTTGGTATGTATGAGATAGAAGAGCCATGTCATCTGTGAAGTCCGAATCGTCGGGTTGCATCCAACCTGTCCATTGTATTCCATGCTTTCCGTCAGATGTGGAGGTGCTCATAATCCAGTCAACCGCCAAAAGAAAGAGAAAAAGAGAGAGTAGGTAGTCTTATCTGACACCAGTCTTTGCTTGAAATGCGTCTCTTAGTTGTCCTCCATTCACGACTTTGCAGTGTAGTATGTATAATAAGCTTAGCTGAAAATGAATCACATGAGCAGAGAACAAATTATTCACCTCGAAAAAACAACTGATGATGTGACTGAAAGCTCCAGTTCTATAAATAGTGTAATATGAATGTACTGAATGCAAATAATATTTAAAACTAAATACATGGATACATATTACATAACCTAGTAGTAAAAGTCTTTGTTGTATCATGCATACATTACATTAAATAACAATGAGGTAGTCTTTTCTTATGTAATCTAATGACGTAATGTATCGTTTGTATTTGAAACATTTAAAAAAGAAACAAAATGGACATGAAATCTATTTTTATCCTAAATACGAAGATTACTTTTAGTATTGAATAAGTTTGTACAATGTAACTTTTTTCCAACAAAAGTTTGTATCCATTCTGTATTGACAATTTACACTATCGAAGAAATATTCTTTCCTAATTCATGAATTCATCGTATGTGTATATATAAACATTAGATTATAGTCTAGTTCGTGAAATATAAATGTCAGAAGGGATTTTGTGGAGATTTAGTATTTTTCATAGCTGAAAGCAAGAGTCAATTGAAGCTAGACCACCATGGAAAACGTGGAAGTACTGGATGCCGTTTCGTCCTATTAAGGGACTCCTCAGCAGTGTGCAATGACCAGTGGAGTTCAAACCACGTCTGTTGTGAGATAGGAACTCACTGAAGACAATTGATGAACGGTTGCTCACACTTCATGGATTGGTTGAAGTTAGACATTAACACCATCGGATGACGGCTCAGTGGTCTATCGGTTAAGTGCTCTGGTGCGAGACTGGTAGGTGCTGGGTTCGAATCTAGCTCGCAAGAGCGGGTTCGTGGATTCGCACTACTGAGGAGTCCCATGATAGGACGAAATTGCCGTCCTGTGCTTCCAGGTTTTGCCTGATGGTCTAGTTTCAATTGACTCTAGCTTTTAACTATGAAAAATATAAATGTACTTGAAATGTAAATACAAAATAAGAATACTTATATGTATTTCTTTGACGCTTATGAATTTTACTTACTTCATCTGTTTTACCATCTAAACGAGGTTCTCTCCATTTAGCTTGAATAAATGCATCAGCGTGATAGATTTCTTTCAGTGTATCAATTTCACCAATTTTTAAAAATACAACACGAATTTGTACTGTTACCTGTATTTATAAGAAATAATAGTTATGCGAAATGAAAATGAATAGTTTAACTTATTATATATAACTAAGTTGTTGAAATAAAATGTATTTTCTGTAATTAAGAATATCACATTCTGATATGAGTTTAGACAAGTAGAATTGAGAAAACCACTTCAAGTTTTTTGTGGGAAGTTTGAAAATGGATGATTAATTTTACATCATGGAAAAAGGAGCAGACAAATCAATAGCGGTAAGGCAGCAGGACCAGGCAACATTCCGGCAGAGGCACTGAAAGCAGATGTAGCAGTAACTGCAAAGACACTCCACATCCTCTTCAGTAAGATTTAGAATAAAGAACAAGTACCAACAGACTGGAAAAAAAGAACTTCTGATCAAGATACCGAAGAAAGGCGATCTTTGCAAGTATGATAACTACAGTGGCATCACTCTTCTCTCAATATCAGGAAAAGTCTTCAACAGAGTATTGTTAAACAGAGTGAAGGGTTCCATGGACGGCCAACTTCGAGGTCAATAGGTTGGATTCCGTAAGGATCAATCGTGTACAGACCAAAGGGAAGCTCTAACATGGAATCCCCAGTGCCAAAGGAGAAGAGGAAGACCAAAGAACGCACTACGCCGAGAAATGTAGACAGACATGAGAAGAATGAAGAAAAACTGAATAGAACTAGAAAGAAAGGTGCATGGCAGTGTGAGTGGGTTGGATAATGCTGGTCGACGGCCTATGCTTCATTGAGGTTACAGGTGTAAGTAAGTAAGTGTTATATATTTTGAACTTAATGACTGAAAGTGGCTTTAAATTCTCATCAGTGGTTCATGAGTCGCTATGCTTCATTGATGCCTAAAATACTATCTGATCAAGATGTATAGAAATGAATTAAGTTAACAATCCAGAACTTAATTAAGTCTTAGATTTAAATAAATACTTTATGTTTCAATTACAAACAGCATTCATTAAATCGTAGCTTCATCTTCGATTCATGACCAAATTTTACCGAAAATATATTTTAAACAGCGTTATCCAGTTTGGTAAATTTTTAAAAAAAATACTTAGTGGTACACTACGGCAGAATTTTTCACATATTGACTATTGTCATAAAAATAATTCAATGTCAATTTATCAGTGAATATCCATATGTTAGAGCTATAAATGAGTTAGGTATAAGAAAACTACTCAACAAACTTATGATTATACATTAGATTTATAAATTTTCATACAATTCATTATATGCAAAGATGGATAGTGGTTAACAGTGGAATCCAGGATGCGCATTTCGTCTTATTTGGGACTGGTCAGCTGAATGTACTTGTATCTTACAGTTGATGTTCACTTTGGGACTCGAACCCAATACATTTCGCTTTAAATGCCATTGAGTTATCCATCTTTGCTTATAATGCTTGTGAATTAAGGCTATATCAAGGCATTACGCACAGTACGCACATATGCCAATTAGAGACTGGTGAGTTGCAGTTCTAAACATCAGTAGGAAGATTCAAACAAACAATACTGAGTGAATTCATTACATATTTATAAACGTTTTTTTTTAATTTTTTTGGTTTATCAATTTATTTGCAAAATTCATATAAAATATTTTGTTTATGCATGAAAAAGTTGTACACATCACTGAAATTCATTCTGATTATAAAAAGTAATGACTAAAATCTATAAATAACTCATTGGAATGAAAATTTCCTAGTCATGGCGTGGTGTAGGCTACTTATGTTCACACAAGTAGTATATAACAATGGTCGAGCACTAAATGTATTTCTGTAGAAGAAAGAATGGAAACGAGACGCAATTAGTATGAAAATGCCTTGAACAATTATAATCGGAGACTAGATACCGATATTTGCAGAGGGAATGGTAAAGATTGAGAAAATTGATTAATAATTTGTAAATTAACTGTTTACCGTATGATTGTCAGATTTTACTGAGATAGTCTGTACTTTTCGTGTTAAATACATCCGATTGTTTTTGATGGAGTTTTGTTCTCTGAGCTGGATGGTTTGGTCGTGGAGCTTTCATTGTCCTTCTGAACGACATCATCAGCACTAACTTCGGGTAGAAGTGAACTGTTTGAATTTCTCCATATGTAGTTCACAACTTGTCCTGTACACTTCAATGTTGATTGGTTTTACCCGAAGTTTTGTGCTGATAATGTCATTCAGAAGGACGATGAAATCTCCACGACCAAACCATCAAGCTCAGAGAACAAAACTCCATCAAAATCATCCACCAGAGCTACAAATCTTCTCCAACATTCAATTATCCCCAATCATATTCTCATTCACTACAATAATACATTGAGAGTTTGATTAAAATAACCATTTCAGTTCTATAATTAACTATTATGAATTAGAATAATTTGACCCAACCTTTGAATGGATTACACTTATTGTAAATAAAAACCTGAAAATTGTTATAATAAACAATAAACCACCTCATTGTATGATATTTCTGTTGTTGTTGTTGTGGCGGTGGTTGTTGTTGTTGTTATGGTTGTTCAATTACCACTTAAACAAACCATACATAGTAATAAAAAAACAAATATATTATTGGTTTACTATAAATAAACAAGTTTATTTATAGTAAACATGACTATAAATAAAATAGGCAATTTATACTTGGTTTATTGATTATTTTGTTTATACTTAAGTAGGATAGATAGAATGTAGTGATGTTTTTTTCTTTTTTTTTCTTTTTTTTCTTTTTTCTTTTTCTTTTTAAAATATCTTTGGTTTATTTATTTACTTTACTTATACAAATTAAGTATGAACTTTGAATTGTATACATTAATGTAAGTAAATATAAGACAATTATTGTGCTTGTTTAGTTGTTAGTTTGTCTCGCCCAAATCAACATTTGTATATTAAACAATCATTTATATAAATGTTGCCTGTATTCCAATAAACGCAAGCATAAAGATTATAAATTGAAAAGTTGAATAATAAAATTTTAGATTAGTATTGTCTTCACATTGTATATATCGTCATATGATTTGATTTGAATGTAATGGTTTCTATTATATCGATTGAGTGAGTGCCCTGTTTATATATGAACGTTATAAGACCACCAATTGAAGAGCAGTGAATTATCGACCGGGGTAATGTTAAACAAAAGTCGTATGAGCAGTATTAAGTATTTGTCGGTCTTGCTTTCTGCCTAGCCAAGCCAGTTAGGTTCAGAACACCAATAATAGTCCCTGCAATATGAATTATTATTCTCAAACATACTAGGTTTATACACTAATCAAACTAACCACATGGTACCACAAAATAGAAAATAACATTTGTACAATATTTGACCAAATGTGGCTGTGGATAGAGGGAACAGTAATTAATGAACTGGGGATAACTCAAGAATGGTAAATCGTATAATAATAGTCTATAAGTCAAAATAAAGCTTATAATAAGAGGGACACGAATATGGATAGTTTAGTTACTTTACAATTATACAATAGAAATTATACGTATCATATTGGTCCATAAACTATTCTCAAAGTTACTATTTATAAATCTCCACGGGATATAACAGTTTCACAAAGTGATTTCTAGTAAAATTAAAACACTAGCTGATAACTATTGAATTTAGTTAGTATTTAAATAATCTAGATATTTTGATCAATGATGTTTAGTTACCTTCAAATCATAACAAAAGAAATTTCAACATTAGAATTACGAATAATATTGTTCCCAAATAGATTCTCATCAAGCTATACTCTAATACTAGTATGATATTTATATGTGGAAATACTAAACTGATCAAGGTAGTTTATAAGCCAGTGATAATAATGGAATAGATTGCATGAATATATATATATATATATATATATATATATGTATAATCAGTTCAATATACAAAGAAGAATAACAGGATTGTGTCTATGAAATCAGATGTAGTGACTGTAATGCAACGTATGTAGATGAAACATCAAGGTAACTGAATGTAAGGGTGAAGGAACACAAAACAATGCTTAAAGCGTATTCCTAGATCCTCAGATGATGTAAGAAAACTTGAAAACAAGTCGGTGATAGCATTACACTCGATAGAATCGGGTCATACAATTGATTTAAATGGCACAAAAATCCTTTAAAAAGCGTTTAGTTTTTACAAGGAGAGACAAACAGCCGCAGTCCTATACATATGGGCTAATCCAAAAAGTATTAATGGGAGAGATGGAATACAATAAGCTGTGCCATAGCAGCTAATCATTAATAAGTAAAAACCTGAACTTCTTTCCTTTTTATCTAACTCTTATTATTTGAGTGACGATTACATTCAATCATTCTAATCAGTTGTCTTATCGGAATTTGTTAAACAATTAACTGGAACATCAAAATAACACAAAGATTCAGTTTCAGATTACATTCTTCTTCTTCGAATTCATTCATTCTTCTATTCTATTTATTTATGTTCATTTTATTCATGCTGTGACATATATGATGTTTTCTTAAAAATTCACCGACAGAAGACAATATATTGTGAATGAAATATCTTCCCTCACCACTTACGTATATATATAATAGGTTATCTTAACACATATCATTTCACATCACAAGTCTCATACACACTAATACATATACCTAGTTTAGACAGTTTTTAACGTTGATTGGATGACCTATTCAGTGTAAAATGAACCGAAGAACCATTTACCTATTTATGTTCGATAATTTTGATGTTTGATTATATTTGTTTGAAAAAACATGGACCAGATTGCCAGGCGAAACGTTGGATTTACTTCAAATTCATTCCCTTAGATTTTACAAATATATTATTCCTATTTAATGTCTAACATCAAATCCGCGCAAAATTATTGTGAAACTATTCGCTCTAATTTAGACGAAAGTTCATATATAATCAGTAAAATTATTTAGTTCATAGTGTGATAATAGGTACATTATTTGTGATAGGAATAATAAAGACTAGAATCAATGTTCCAATGATAGGAATTAGAATAAAGACTTGAAAAAATAAACAGTAGAATAAAATTCACTCAGTATTG